GGGCTAATTCGGGACCAGTCAGGCGAACCAGGCGAACTCACCCTCATATCATTGGCACACTCTATTCAGCCCAATTTCTTTCCCATGTTTCAAGAGAGGTACTCCGTCTCACTGAGTGTCTTGCAGAGGCGCAGTTCACTTTGCTCGATTTCTCAGCGGCTCAAGTCCGGTCGATGTTATGGCTGCGCGCGGGGTGATCTTCCGTAGGGCCTTTTTTTAATTCCCTAAGCACGGGGATTAATCGCACCTGCGGGGTGCAATGAGGACAAACATTAAGCTTATTCAAGTGTCCGCCGCTTCGGAAGCCCAGTCCCAAAAGGTACTTTCCCTCAGCCCAGGATGCCACCAGATCACCAGGGCGGCTCTGGTCTTTTGGGGCTCGGGTTTCAACCGTCATGCATAAGAAGCCTCTTATAAGGCTTTTTACTTCGTATAACGGTCCTTGGCTGGGTTGGCTCGCACTTCGGTTGATGTCGGTTTGACGATCTCGACAAGGCTTTCGTTAGCCGCAACGAGGATCCAAGTGAAGGATATGCCCATGCTCTTACACACACATCCACACACACACACACAAACACACACACCACAAACTACCCTGGTCTGCAGGACGGACCAGGTACAATAAGTGTACCATGCAATAACTGCTTTTAGGTGCTGATCACACAGCCTCAAAGTTTTTGCATCTCCGCCGGTGTCGTACAAACATATACAAGCAATACCGACGAACTTTCCTAGCGTCACGCCAACTCCTCCGCTAAGATTGGAGACCTGATGAAGGTATGAATCACCTTTATTTGCTTGGAATCATGCACAGGGTTCAGCCGAAAGCAAGGGTCGATAGCCGGGACCCAGTGGTTCCCGATCAGCCGGCGCGAACTGCCCAACAAACAGGGCGTTTGACGAAGGAGACGAAGGCAGAGTAGTAACCCACTATTGCCCCAGCACCTTGGTAAGTACTTGCTCGATTGCATGGAAGAGGATCGTTGTAACAGTCTGGATTGTATCGCTCTGAAAGGGCTGTCCCCATGTGCGTCGCTTGCAAGGTCAATTCTCTCTTCATCTGGGCTCAATCGAAGTGAGTATTTCATTTTTTTTTTTTTTAACTAATCGGTCTACTCTCAACCTGCATCAATTGGCCGAGCTCGAGTACTTTTAATTTGCTACCACTCGTTATTCAAGTGGACGAGGGGAGGAAATTGTTGGAAAATAAAAAGAACAGGGTATATTTTTAACAACCAAGCTTTGCCTCTTTGGGCCACCGTATAACTCGGTTTCCTAGCATACCCATGCCCAAGGTTCAGCTTTTCACCTTGGGTAGGTTTAGCTCTGGCAGATTTGTCCACAGACTGTGACGAATGACGGATGTCAGTCACATCGAATTGAGGCTGGACTGCTTTGTGCCCTGTGCGGCCCGTCACCTCAGGATGTACATACAAGCGTATGCCTGTCACCTAAGTGGCTCTAGTCACACTATCTCGATCATGGCCGGCGAGCTCGAGACGTTAGACCCGAGGCATGTTACCGCTTTAAACGTTTCCGTTTGATGTATAGACACCCCCTCCTACCTGACCGTCACCAGAACCGACTGCCCTCACATCGTTATGGTTCCCGTGGACAGCTTCCCGGGTACTATCCATAAGGTCCACTTACATTAAAGTCCTGCGCATTATGGCCCTGTCTATCAAAATGTCAGACCCTGGACCATTTGCGCTCTAATATTGACATCTCTGCGTCACTTTCACCACCTGTCACTCCAAACCTGAACCGCCTGCTTCGGGCTTGTCCGTCAGTTGAAGTTTATGACTAGACCTGTTCCGCGTCACCTCTGCCGTAGACCCTCAACTTACACACAAGAGATCAGGTTGGGCTGTTTCTGGTTTCTGCCCCCATATATTTCGACGTCCAGCTCGGAGGGTTGAAAGGCTTCAGTCTTACGAGGTTCCTCTGCAAAGTATTAACTATATAAAGGCTGTGTCCTGTAGACTCAGCTCGCTCGATCACTAACAATCCACTCATTGAGTTCCTCACAAGACTGAAGTTTCGACGTTTTCGTTGGCATTGACCTTGACAACTTGGCTGAATTGAACGGCACTTGTTGTTAGATAGGTTGAGAGAACACTTCGGCTGTGAGCTTTTACCTCCCTCTTTCTTGTTACATGTCCTCATCTCAGTTTCCTGAAGATTACCTTTCTCTCGGCAACCTCTCTTTAGAGGCCGAAGAAGACTTTGGACCGCCAGAGCCAGGGTTTGTTGACGATCCAACAACACCTCGTCAACAACGACCGCCGCTTCTGCCGCATTCTTCGAGAGGCTTTTCGTCTAGAAGTGGAACTTACGTAGATCCGCACTCGGGATCAGAGACAGAAAAAGACAAACGTAGCAAACGCAAAATGTCTTCGCGATCCGGCAACAAGCATCACTCTTCCAGCTCAAAGAAACACTCTTCATCTAAGAACAAGACGAAGAATGACGACTGGACAGACGTGACCGAGCCAGAAGAGCGGAGGCGCATTCAAAACCGCATTGCGCAGAGGAAGTTCCGTATGTGAATCCCAGAAGCCCCTTCATATCCACACAGGTTGTACAGAAAGCTCATCTCCATCATACAGGCGAGAAAGCCCGCGAGCAGAAAGAGAGATCAGAACGTGAGTCCAGAAACCAGGAACATGCAGGGAGTTCCTACCATATCCCCGGGCCCACTGATCTCACCGTGGATGAGGACCTCTCAGGCGTTCCTTGGGGAGGCATCAACATGCAACATGTCTTTGCCAGGGGCCACGAGAGCGAAAGCCGTCGTGGCAGTCGCAAGGAGTCCGATCCAGCAATGATGGACGACCCACAGTATCTGTCTCCTTACTCGGGCGGCTATCCTCAGCCTCCCAGCTGGGATGGACGGGATAGCAGCGGTGAGGACCGGTACTATGATAATTCTTCGCCGTACTACGGTTATGACTATGATACCCCACACGGCGACGGCTCAACCAGATGAAAACCGTTATATGGTGGTGGTTTTTTCACTTCTTGCTTGACATCAGGGCTGAGGTCCGACTTACACGGGGCTTAGCAACCAGAACAACAAGGCAGCGATTCACAACCGCCAGGCACAATATGCGGCGAGAAGCCGAGATACGAAGGCCCGCCGAGCAAGATTTCCTCCCTTCTTACGCTTATCTTCACTCTTTTACTGTGTATGGCTAAAGTACGAATTACGATACAATCGCGGGCAGCTACGGTGGAACCGAGGGCCTGGCATGCGGTGGATTCATTTGAAGCTGGACTGGGACTATGAATTCGACATTGGCATTGTAGACGTTGATTTGCTCTTCTCTCCCTTTACTATTACCTCATTTATTCTCCTTTCTTGATTGCATATACCCCTCTCGTGTATCAAGCAGTTTAGCTAGATTACCTACTCCTGCAACAATTACTACTCCTTTGCAACTCTCTGCTCTCTTGATACCTTCGGTCTTGTGACTGAGCATTGTTTGGAGACGCGGAGCAACACCCCGTCCATGGAATTGGCCACCCCTGAAAGGTGACGGCATGCCTTGTCAGTATCTCTTCTGGGAAGCCCGTACATTGTCCAGAATTCGGCTCAACATTCAAACAAAGGCGGCGGAACGTCCCTCCGCTCAGGCCGTAGCTGTTGACCGGGCCATGGGGCAGCCGAGGATTACCCTGAGTCCCCGGCTCGAGAGCTGAACGCGTGCCGCGCAAGTACGTATGCAAGCTGCTTGATCGACCTTACCTCCATCACAGCCTAACCTTACCAATCTACCTGGCTGGCAACCTGGACCACCCACTCTGCCGTGACGTGCGCCAACCCATTCGAGGCATTATACCACGAATTATGCTAGCAGCTCTGGCGTCTCCGAGACAGGGGGATGAAAAGACCCATTGGGTGCCCGGGTTCGTGGTGCGATTGTAAGGCGCCGACCGGAAGGGCGCGCGTGGTGCACCACCCATGCCATGGCATGGATGTCTGGCTGCGAGAAGCTTTCGGCGAGGCAGGCAACAACACCCGCCAAAAACGCGGCACTTTCAAGACACCATGCTACATAGACTGGAGATACTGGTCTCCTGCATTTCAGTTTCCGATACCCTCCTGATACTGATAGATATGCAGCCAGACAAGGCAGACATGAGAAGACGAATGCTCATCGTGCATGTATGCATGCAATTTTGTAAAATCGGACCAATGTGCAGTTTCCAAATCCAAGACGCCTGACCTGAGCGAGGATGCTTCGAGTTCGGTACCTAAGGTACGCCAGCCGCATGGCCCAAGAGCGCGGACTCGAATGGGGTCCGAGCACCGGAAGGGCCACCCACACAGCAGGTAAACCCCCTGTCTTGCAGTCTGTCTGCAGATATGCAGCCCAACCTACCCAGGGGGGTGGGTGGTGTCCCCGGGCTTAACGACCTACTACCCAGGTGGTCTAGGTACCTAAAGCTAAGAGCCAGCGCCAGTGCCTTGGGAGCCGGCCGCTTGCCACGAAAGCACCTGAGCACGCGTGATCCATAGAGAACCCCGGGAGTGGTGCGATTCATTGAAGGACGTAATGAACTGCAGATGAGTTGGAACATCGGCCATTTTCTCCCCTCCAGCGGCACGGTGCAACCTTTCAGCTGGTAGGCGATGTCACGCCCAGACGGAAGGAGAGATCCAAAATGCCGAGTCCACCATACGGAAGGCACGACGGGAGGAAAGACCATAGCTCCACTCCCGGACTTCTCCCGAGCCTTGGAGCGCTCCTGCCCCGGCTGGCTTAGAGGTCTTCTTGCCTGCCCGTTCAGGAGCCTCTTTAGTGGGGAACGCACGGGAGCTTGCACTGACCGCTTTCCCTTGTAACGGCAGAAAACGGGCGGTTTCTTCAATGGGTTACGGTGGGCCCATTGGCAGGCAGAATAAACCTCTCCACTGAAAAAAGTCCCGAGGATCTTCACCTAGAGAGCCTCGTCTACAATTCTTCCCCCCACGACTCGTAGCGCACGAAGTTACAATGGCGGGTTCAAGCGAGGGCGGCGGTGATGCCAAACGTGAGTTCCACCTCCAATTCTATCCAATTGGAGTTGCTCCATCCGTCCTAGGTGCGTCTGGAGATGAAAATGAAGCTGCTAACCCCTCCAATCACTCAGTGGCAAAGCGCAAGAAGCGCGAGGCTCGAGCAGCCCTCGACGAGAAGAAAGCCGCCAAGAATGCGGCGAAGAATGAAGCTAAAGCAGGACGGGTCGCGAAGTGGAAGCAAAATCGCAAGCTGGAGGACAAGGCCGCAAAGGCCGCCAGCCACCCGAACAAGGTAGCGAAGCGCAAGGCACGCCTGCTGGTCCTCGCCGAGAAGCTCGAGGCAGAGGCCAAGACGCTGCTGGCTCAGGCTAAGGACGCTCGTGAGAAGTACACCCAAATCGCACAATCCACAGAGGTACGTGACCCCTGTGTCAGCAATGAGGTGTTGCATACTAGAGGCGCAGGGCTAATCTTAAGATTCGCATTGCAGAAGGAAGGCGCCAAGAGTAAGGTCCAGTCTACCAATTCCCAGAAGGACGAGTCCGCCGATAGTGATGTGGAGTCCGATGGGGATAGCTCGTCAGACGACGGTGGTGCGAAAGTCGAGTCTACTCCTGCTAAGGTTACTCCTGTCGAAAAAGTCACTATCTCCCAGGAGGAAGATGTTGTCATGAAGGACAAGAAAAAGAAGAAGACTCGGAAGTCAGCCATAGAGACGCCAGAGGACAGTGCAGACGAGGCTGAAGAGCCGAAAGTCCAGGAGCAGCTAGCTCAGAAGGACAAGGCTAAGAAGAAGAAGAAACGTAAGCTGGAGGCCCAGGCTGACGACGGAGCTAAGACTGAGGACGTTGCTTCGGACAAGAAAAAGAAGAAGGCCAAGAAAGCGAAGAAAGAGAAACTGGAGGCGACCACCGCCAGCGAGGAGAAGACACCTGCCGCCAATGCGCCCGAGAATTGGAACGTTCAGAGCTTAGACGGCGGCTCTGACCGAAAAGCCAAATTCCTCAGATTGCTTGGTGGCAAGAAGGCTGGACAGACAATGGGAGACGGAGACAAACCTCGAGACAACCTCGATATGAAACATGTTGCGGATGACCTCGAGAAGCAATTTGAGGCCGGTAGACACATGAAGTTCGAGACTGGCGGCCAAAAGAGAGGACTAGGAGCATAGCAACCGGCGTTCGGATTCACGTCTGCGAAACACTTGATTTGGGCGTTCTGAGAGGGCCACCGGATTGCATGGAAAATACCAATTGATGTCATTTGCACCCGCAGCTAAACCCTTATTTTGACTGTCCCTCCCGTCTCCGTGTGATTGGTATAATATCGTACAGGCGCCACCTCGTCCTTGTACCATTTCTATAGCCATGCCAAGACAGCTTTAGGACATATACTTTCAATGTATGGAACATTGCCTCTCCCAGTCGGGAGGCGCTCTTATGATCTGTCGACTTGAAACCCTCATCCCCGCCACGATGTCATCGAAGCAGCTGTCGCTTATGAGCCGAGGCCGAACAGGCGTGAGAAGACCTCAAAGAGGAGTCCGCCGAAGACAATGAAACCGAGGACACCTGGATCGCGTTGCATTAGTTGAGTTCTTTTCTTACGGCGCGAAGGGGGTGTGCGTCTGTTTGCATACCGAGCCAAATGGGAGAGATAGGAGACTTGGGCTGATCCTTCGCCCTCTTCTTCAATTGATCCTCCGACTTGCCGCGGCGCGCATCTTGGTCCTTGGCGAACTTGAGGTTCCTTCGTCGCTGCTCGGGTGTTTGTGCCTGTGACCTTGTTAGCCCTGGCCCCCTTGTGGCGATTGTTCACGGACTGCACCTACCATTGTGAAGGTTCGGGAAGGAGGAAAGAGGTTGATTGTAGATGAAGACGATGCAATGTATCGTCAATCTGAAGAGCAGAAGAAGTCGCTTGACAAGAAAAAGGGAATGACAGGGAAAAGGGACTCGGTGGTGGTCCTGCGCAGGGAGGTTTGATATAGAGTGGCCGAGTCCGTAGGCGGCGTTGTCCCAAGAATGGGGACAGATTTCAACGAGTCTAGCAGGTCGCTCCCTAAACTTTTTGGAGACGTGTCGTCCAGAGCTCTCCCATTAGTCTCCAGGGCAGGGGTAGGTAGGGGTTCGCCTGGCGCGGGGCGAGCCAATCAGCGCTATTTTCCTGCTCGGGCGGCGCCGTCTGCAAGACTGGACCTCTGACAATGTGACTTTGTGCTGTTGCTGATCAAGGTGCTTAACCTTACCTAAATGAAAGTGCTTCTGCAGACACATTATCGAAAAGCTCTGCTGGAGATAACGTGTTGAGAGTTATGCTATCGAGATCGATAACAACCGCCGGCAGGCGACTGCGGCCAAGCGCAGCATTGTCCGGGTCTCTTGTGCAAAGACAACTTCGTTTCGCCTCATCACAAGGATCGCCAACCGTATGACTCTTCACATTTATTCTAATCACAGATCTGTCAACATGCTGACAATATGCTCCAAGACCAACTTTTACAAGACTTTCACACGGCCCGTTGCCAAGGTTCTGCTCATGGCCATTTTCACCTACCAGCTGGCCTACTGGGGGTGGGTGAAACTGGAGCAGGATGAGATCCGCGACCAGCGCGAGAGTAAGTGCTGATCTGTCTCGTCTAGCGCGCTCTCTTCGATTCTGATGCCACGTAGAAGAGATCACTGGGCTCGAGGCCGAGGTCAAGCGCCTGCAGGGTCCGCCTGCCGCCTCGTCAAGGTGACACAGCCTCGCGCACGCCTGTTGTTGAGCTGACCACAGCGCGGGGGAGCCGGTCAACGGCGATGCCACGTTGATGTCATGTTGTCTTCCGCCGATGACGGGCAGTCTCTTGCTTGCTCATCACGACCTCGACCGGATGCAACGGTGCCGTGCCTCCTACCGGTTGCATGGCTCGGTGAAGGAGTGATGTGATGTGTGGTGGCTGAGCCCAGCTGAACGGTCTTGGGGATGAACGCACACCTCACCGTGAGGAAACCATCCGCAGCTCCGCGTCGGCTGAGTCTGCCTCACCTGAAGACATTCACGCACATCACCTTGTGAAAATCAATAGTCGTCTGCACGAAATCGAGATGCATATAGAACACGGGGAGCTATCTTGTTGTTTCAACACCTGTATTTAATATTGTACCATACGGTACTCGTGCCGAACATCACATAGGTAGACAAGATGATACTTGTACAAGATTGAGTAACCCAATGTACCCTCGAACCCGAAAGAACCAAAAAGCAAAACGCCTGTCTCTTGATTTCCAGCTCCCCTTGTCGAGGAGGATCTGACCGTGCCATACAATATCCCGTAAACGCCGCACTTCGCTCATCAGCCATTAAATCGTCACAAGACCTGCCGTCTAGCCCCCAACGTAGTGCTCTAGAGAAGGACGAGAGCCATCAGGCTGGCCGCAAGGGTCATCGTCACCCAAGGTATTGATACGAGAGCCGAGGAAGAGAAGAAGTGGGCCGAGCCGGGGTAGTTGCAAGTAATCACCCCGTTGGCATCCTCCTCGGACCGCCGGCCGTAGCTCTGGTCGAAGCCAATCATGCCCGGCTGTGGACAAGAGAAGCCCAGAGATGCAGGGCAACTCTGGACGATGTTGTAGCAGAGGTCCTCGCAGGGGAGGACCTCCTTATAGGGACCGGGCTTGACAAACTCGTCGATCCGTGGGAGGCGCGAGGAGTCGACGCCGCTGGTCTTGTTATTCTGAATGCTTTCTATGACGGACTGCGATAGTGTAGACTTGTCCGGAAACGGTTGCGTGATGGCCCGTGGCCAGAGATACGAGTCCTCCTTTGCGAAGTCTTCACAGCGAGGAATGGTGACCGAGCACAGCCAGGCCTTGTATGCCTCGGCACATTGCGAACAGTTCCTCACCAGGGAGTATCTTTGTGTCGACTCAGCCTCGCACTGAATCTGGGCGAGATTCTTCTCGAAGTTCGAATACATCTCCTGCGCGAAGTCATCGTAGAAGTTTGCCAGGAGCGTGGCGTTAGGAAACGTGTTGTTATTGCTGGGAACAGCATACGCAACCTCATCGCAGAAGGTCAGGTTGAAGACTACCGCACAGTTTCCTCCCTCTTCCCAGTGAATTAGTGACAGTTCCAAAGAGATAGACACCAAGATACTTACGAGACTTCGTTGTGAAGTTGGTAGCTCGGAACACATGCCCGCCAGCGCCGACGCTGGTGGTAGATGTAGCTGTATTCCTAGCCAAGATACCAGCGTAGTTCGTGCTCGCGTTCAGACCGCTGAAATAGAATTGCTGCTTTGGGAGGTTGCCAGCGCCACGCCTCGTCATGCCTGTCGTAACCATGCTTGCAAATTTGCCATTTCGGACAGCCGCTATCTGTGCATAGTTCGTCAAGCCACAGTACGAGTATCGAAGGCCGCTGATCGACCGGTCCTGATCATTCTGAGCAAACATCACGTATGGCTCTGTGCTCATGACCTGCTGGTCAACCGCCTCGTCAGTGCTAGTTGTGAGGTTGTGTGTCATCAGCAGGGCAGCAGATGCATCGCTGTCTACCCATATCAGATCCGCCTCCGACGATTCATCGTAGCTGAAGTAGGGAGCATCGGTCGACGCGGCGACCTTGAAGTTATAAATGCCAGAAAAGTATTTGGGGTTGATTGTTGGCGCTGAGATGCCTATATATAAATCCTCGGAGGCACTGACGTTGAACATGACAGCTCCTTCGGTAAATTCCTGAAAGTCCTGCTGGTCCATGTCGGCACTAGGCCCAGGAGACTGGTTATTTGATGAAGTTGAAACCCACAATGTCAACTGTGGAGGATCCATAGTCGTCGCACTGATCCAGTCGGGTTGTTGGCACGTATTCGCAGAGATATACACTGTCTTCGTGGCCCGTCGTTCTAGAGGTCTGCTATCCTCCAGCTCCTCGCCATCAAGGCTTCGTTTCTCCGACTCATTCTGTTCACCTCGCAGTTCCAGACGTCCAGAGTCCCGGCCAAATATTTGTGTTCCCTCAAAAACAAATACTTTTGTCGTGCCCGGCTCAACATTCATCGGCACGGGGTTATTGTTCACCAACGACTCGACACCGGGTGGTGCTCGACCCAGAATACTCCTGTCAAACGCCGCGAATTCCGGCTCATACACCCCATCTCTTGTTTCCAGTTCTGTTTCTTCGATATCCAATGCTATTGATTCTTCGAATTGTATCGGTGATCCATGGTTCAGCTCCTCAGCGAGGGCAAATTGTGGGGAGAAGAGCGAGAAGTAAATGAGGATGAGGAGGCAGGTTGCGATCACACATGCCGCGAGCCGCGATGCCAATGGGCTCAGCTGCATCGCGAGGACATGCCCTCACGGGGCGCCGAGATCTCGGGTCGAGTAAGTCTTCGTAGCCGTAATCCGGTCTGTCCTGTCTTGCAAGTGCTCGGTTTAGTCGGACGGTACTGACGGATGTGCCACGCCTCTAAACCAAATCTTCAATCTTTTGCGTGCTAGTGCGATGAGACTGTTCTGCCAACTGGATTGTATTCGCTTTTCCTCGTAGGTTGTCACTGATCCTTTCGCCTCATGTAATGTTGTCCGGTTGATTCTTCTTGAAACAAGTGCCTTTCGTGGAAAGGAGGCTGTCTTCGGGGAGTTTCACAAGCGTGGATCCCATACACAGTGGTGTAGCTGCAGGGATCAAGCAAATGGATGCGTGGTCGTTGTCAGCGCTGCGCCGCACCGCCACCAGGACACCCCACTAGGTACAAGTGGACAGCCCAACAGCACAGTGAAATGACAGTGTACCTGAAGTACCCAGCATGCCCATAATTATCTTGCATCAAGGCCTTTGTGGCTCAACTCAATGGGAAGCTCACTCTTCGATTTGTGGCTTAATACCGGAAAATATCGATGATGATCGTTTCGTAATGAGCGTGTTCCTTGTTCATCTCAGTCAAGTTCACCCTGGAATTGTTTGCTAGCATGCCGCGGACCCTGGACATTCTTCACAAACACAGGAATGTTCATTCAAATTACTGAGCACTTGGAGCAGCTTCCGAGCATCTAGATTCGAGGAAAATTCAGTAGCATGGGTGAATTCAATTGACCGTAATCGAAAAGCCATCTCACGTTCCCATACCGTACATCTACAGGGTTTCAGACCAAAATCATGCATCTAAGTTGGCAGGCAGAGCCGCCAAAAGGACCAAGAATAAAGAAAAGCCATAATCCCCCCATATAATCGTGTCTCTCTACCGCCATTCCGTGTTCCCGCGTATTCAGTTCGTCATATACCAATGTGCCCGTTCGTAATTGTCCAGTGGTTCCTCAGCCGCCAGTCGTGTGATCATTAAATCATGTCCAACGCCGTGAGGAATCAGGGCTTTCAGTTAATTCAGGTGTGCTCTGGGCAGGTCTCCTCTCCGTCAGAGCCACGTGCGCTCTCAGATAGGGAGATACAAAGTCCAGTAGTGCCGCTTTACTCGGCCTTGGCCGCATCAGCCTTCGCGCGCAGGCCAGAGGCAGTGGAGCTGGAGCTGTGAAAGTGCTTGGCAAGCATGGGCGACAGGAAGGAGTGGAAGATGATGTTGGCACCCCTGATATCAAGTTAGGTTGGGTAATGTGGTAGTACAAGGTTGGAATTACTTACTGGAAGGCGGGGAGAGCGAGCCAGAGGAGGAAAACGAACTTGAAGGTGTAGTAGAATGGGAACCAGTAGACGACGTTCAACAGGCTCTCGAGAACGCTTGAGGATGGATTAGCACTACAGTTTCGGTTGCCTTTCAGCGTGGCATTGAAAACTTACGTGAAGAAGGCGAAAACAACCCAGTACTAGCAAGCTCTTGGTCAGTATATGAAACGCTCAGGAACATAGCTGTGCATGCTTACCGTCAGCCACTGGGTGTCATCGGCCTTGTTCGCCGTGAAGAGGGCATCAAGGGAGTAGTATCCTGGGATGACAAAGCCGGCAAAGTTGGTGAGGAGCTGGCCTCCGAGGTTGAAGACGATAAAGAAGAAGTAGAGAGCCACGAGGCCGATGACGGCATAGGCCTTCGGGACGGAAGTGCTCTTCTCGAGGTTGTTCAGGGCCGGGTACTTAGAGAGCTAGAAGATCGTTTCCATGTCAGCGATGTTCTACTCCAAAACGGCTATCGCCCGCAACGGCGCAGCTGGCGCATACCTCCCTGTCGAGCTGGCCCATGTAGTTCTGCACACGATCCTGAGCGGCCGCCATTTTGACAGATGTTTGATGAGAATTAGATTGCAGAAATGCGCAGTGGCAGTCTGTAGACAAATGCCGGTTAGTACCACGAGAGACCGTCTTGCTGCGGGGCCACGAGCTCCTCTTTGCGGAGAATCCGGAGCTACCTGGTTGGAATGCTCACTTACGAAGTCTGAGAGAAGTAAATTAGCGATGGATGCTTGAGAGCGAGTAGTGCGTCGAGTATTTGTCTGGAAGTAATTTGGCTTCCTTACGGTGGGAGTATTTGCGATAGGGAGAATTGTCAAGAGACAGGAATTTTGGCAGGTGAGCAGGTGAAGGTGTGGGAAAGAGGATGGATGGATGACGACTGTCGCTGATACGTGTTGCTAAATGCCCATTTCGACTCCACTCACCTCTCTTTGCTCTTGCACACACAATGACCTGTGCAGCTGCCGGGGGCTTCCCTTAACAGGAAGGGTGGATGTGGAAGTGGGATCTGCTGCTGTGGCTCAGCACCACCCAAGCACCCTACCGTCACAACCTTTCCTGCTCCCTCATCCCCCAGCTGCCCACCTAAAACTCCTCCTGTGACGTCCCTGTGCATGTCATACCTTAACTTGAGCGGGAGGTGGAGGCTAATTGTAGCTAGCGAATTAGATCACTTGAAACTGGCTGAGTAAGGCGGGTCCCAATCTCACTAACCTTCCGAATGTTTACTCTGTGAGTGCCTGAGGCCGCAATATTATCTAAACATCGGCGCATCGGCCTTTCCCAGTGTTGTGCACGGGCCACCCCAGCCGAGAATTTTGGGCTGGTCTCCTTGGTGACCTGCCACAGCAAAACAGAGGGCACGATCTGCCTCGTAACAAAACAATCTCCTCGCAGAAGTAGAAGCCATTCCGTCCCACATTGCTCGACCTTCTTCAGGCCTGCATCTGCTGCGCACCCCTGCCAGCCCGAGCATTCGACTTCCTTCTGTATTCTTTGCTCTCTTCAGCATCGTTTTCACATTCTCTTGTAATTTCTGCTTCTCTGCAGCGCCCGTGTCGTGCCTTGTTTGTCGTCGCATTGCCGCTCATGCTTGTGTTGACGGGGTCTGCGGAGACAATCGCTGACAAAAACAAGAACAACAAAGCCGAGTCAACAAACCACTCGCCGCACAAATGGACCCAACAGGTACGTCGTCTTGGCTCATAGACAATACTAAATGAATCGCTCGTGCGCATTCTGCATTGTCCATTATTTATTTTCTAAATTATTGTGCTCATTGCTTCACAGATTCCCATATGATGTCGGCAGCCGCCGGCCGAGTATCGAAGTCGAGGAAACGTCCTCAGTCCCGGGGCTCGACCGCATCCATCCGGAGCGCGACCACACAACCGAATTTGGACCAGCACTTTGGCGATGCTTCTGATGTCTTCACTACTCAATGGCTTGCCAATGAGCACAATCAGCCAAAGGACCTTGCGCCGGCTCCTCATCAAATGAGCCCCGAGGACATGCTGCTCCAGGCAACCTCGCAAATGCATGCTGGCCGCGACTATGCTCTGGATGCATCCATGAATTCTTCGGTAGGACAGGCCATGTCATTTCATCAGCATCATTCTATGAGCGGCCGGCAATCACTGCCGACTGACTCGTTCAGCGCCAACAACAGCTTTGTCGACCAGGATAGCCAGATGATGGATCGCGATGGGAACGAGGATGGAGACTCCGTTCTCGGTGTTGGTGGCCCATCAAAAGCCTCTCGATCGAGTGCCAACAATGAAGTAGAGATGCGACATCTCTTCAGGCAAAATCAACACCGCAGCTTGGTCGATGTTGCAGAAGAGCTTCATGGCAATGAGCGCGGTCCCAATTCAGAACGGACACGCCAAGTCTTTGCTATGCTTTGGTAAGTAGACCCATTTGGTCTAATAAGAGAGTCAATCATGAACGGTGCTCATTATCGCAAACAGGATCAACTCAGTGTGTTCAAAGGGCAAGGGCTCTGTGCCGAGAGGTCGTGTCTATGCCAACTATGCCTCTCGATGCGCAACTGAAAGGATTACCGTTCTGAATCCGGCAAGTTTCGGTAAACTCGTTCGAGTATTATTTCCCGGCTTGAAGACCCGCCGTCTTGGTGTCAGAGGAGAATCGAAATATCATTATGTCAATTTCACTTTGATGGAGGATGAGCCTGACCTTCGAGAGCCTCCGAGGAGTCTGACAGTACCTCTGGCAGAAGGCACAAGTCTCGTCCCAACTTTCAAGTAAGATACTTCCCCGACCATATACACGAGGAATTTATACTAACCTATATTTAGTGCTTCGTCTGGTACAGCAACAACAACGGCACGTCCTCAGAAGACGGCCTTCCCGTCCCCAGACCTTGCCCAGAACACTGACAACCAACCAACCCGGTCCCGTGAATTTACTCACTCTCTATACAACCAGCCGGACGTCTCAAGTATTGATCAGTTCCATTCCACCATGAACAAAACGTTGCAGAAACTTGACTGGGCGCCGGAATCAGAAGACCCGTTCCAGCAGTCCGAGCCTATTATCCTACCATCTATCGAACCGTTCCTTCCCAGTGGCACGGACCCAGATGCGGCCAAGTCGCTCACAGCTTTGTATCGCTCTCATTGTACATCACTTGTCGAGTGCGTTCGCTATTGCAAGGAGAAGACATTCTTCCACCTCTTCACCTCTTTCCAGGGCACTCTTACTATGCCTGTTCAAAAGCTTTTTGGAAACCCCGCCATTGCAGCTTGGATTGAAGAGTGCGACTTCATTCTATACCATCGAATGATGCGGATAGTATCTGCATTAACTCTCCAAGTTGTTCCAAAGCCGGTTTTGGACACTCTACGCAACATCTCGGAGAGATTGGTGCCGCATATTCGAGATTCATTCCAAGGTCAGCCTCATCACGTGGTGAGAGCAAAGGAAGCTCCTGCCACCTTGTTCGCCGGTCTTATCGACCGTGCTCTCCGTGTCAATTTGACAGCTCATGCCGCCGCAAACATGCTGTCCAATCCGGCGAACCGCGATGAAATGTATCTCGATTGGATTACAATGGTCCGCACTCGCAAGGTTGCGGAGTGTGTGCCAGACAAAGCCATGGATGACGTTGTCAATCTACTACTTACGGAGCTTCGCGGTCTGCTAGATCCTGTAGATGTTCCATGGGAGATTGAGTGCCTCACCCTATATGGCGACATGGCATTGCGCAACGGCCGCCCTCAGCAGTCAGATACCTCTGGTAACCTGGGCACACAGAATGTCCTAGATCGATGGGTCAACTTCCTACGGTCTCTTCCCACTCGATTCCCGTATGCGTCTCCTGCTGAGATTGTGCTCTTCGTACAAAGACTCGGGACCAACGTCATGAGGGATATAACAATATCCCAGGGAAAGAGCTTCGGATCGTGGTGGGTGACTAAATGCTGGGTCGATGAGATGATCTCTTTCCTGGCCGAGCAGGGCGGCTTCATGAAGCAGAAAACAACACAGACAGCACTGGACATTGGCAAACGCCAGGCGTCGACAAGAGAAGTCAGCTGTCAGGGCTCACGATACAGCAGCGGCAGTGATGATTTTAGTATGCCGCGCATGGGACAGGCACAACCTGACCGAGCGCCTTTTCCCACAGCCCCAGCACCTAGCACCCACGACACACTTGCGTTGAACGCAGCAAACCATGACGACAGCGGAATAGGCATTCGCACTCCCGAAGAAGAATTCCCCATGGATAAATTCACGTTCCCACAAGATGGCCACGAGCTTCTCGATGGGGTTGATCTTCACAACGGCATGACCAGCTGAGGCAGGCTTTTGCCCTCCTCTTTGACTTCTAGGTTCTGCTGTTTTATTATTATTATTGTGGTGGTTGCCCGATACCTCCTGCAGCGCACCATGGCTGCTTTACGTCACGATGGGACGATGGAACGAAGATACGACGGGTATTCCTATGGCTTTCATAAAAGGTCAGAGGTCAGGTGGACAGGTCACGCAACATGTTGGCATGTTGTGTTATTTGGAGTTTTTGTGTGTATATATCTTGCTTGGAAAACGATGGCTGCAACTGGAGGAAAGTTGCTGGCGGTGAGGTTTTGTGCCTTTCGACTGGAGTTGTGTTGTCCGAGTTTTTGTTGGAATACAAGTTGCGGCTATTGGCTAGTAAGGCCAAATTACCCCGTAAACGCGTTACTGAGTGGAGGTAATTGAATCGAAAGAGAGATGATGTTAATCTTGAGCCTCTTCCAATTGTGGGTGCGGTCTTGAACAAAATCGGAAGCAACATTCGAAACTCTCCCATAAATCTGCCCGACTCCGTCTACGCCGCCGGGGTTGGCCTACTTAGTCTCTTCCATGGCGTGTCGCACGAGCCCTTTTTAACATGTGAAGAGAGGTTCGGCAGCGCCACCACGCTAGACACTCCGCTGGCACGGGGCACGGGGCAGGTAGGTAGGCGGCGCGGGGATCAACTACCTGGAGAAGAAGTGAAGATCCACTTACACACCGTAAACAAGAAACCAATTTCCTCAAGCTGCTGGTGGTCACTTTGTACGAGGGGTATATATATGTAAGCTTCCAGGTACGCCCGCGGTGCCGGCTCTTACGGTGTGTGAGACTGACTATGACAAAGGAACAATCCTCGAGAGGTGTTGGGATTCAACAAGCTTCCTTCTCAAACTTTAACTCCTTCCGAATCGTCTGGAGTTTGTGACTCAAGAGTATATTTGCTCAGCCCGTGCGTGGCATTATCTGAAGTGCAACACCTTTTTGCTTTTTGGATATCAGTATTTCGGTCCTCGGGTTTTTTGGTTGTCACTACGGCATTTGTTACATTATATCTCGACAAGTCGCACAACACTAGCTTACAGTGGCCAGTCTGAGACAAGATGGTCAGGGAGCTGGAGGGCAACTTCAAAGTCGGTCAGACCGGTCTCTACACCAAGTCATGGCTTGTGAGTCTTCTCCCACGCAACGACAGCATCTCATTCGCTTGACTTACTTACATGTCTGTGTCGCGGGCAGCCCGATGAGACGCCCAAGGCGAAGCTCGTCTTCGTGCACGGGTACAGTGACCACATTGGCCGGTACTATGGCTTTTTTCCGTATCTCGCCGAGCAAGGCATCGCCGTGTATGGCTTCGACCAACGCGGATGGGGCCGCAGCGTGACGAAGCCGGCCGAGAAGGGCCTCACGGGCCCGACATCAGAAGTCATCGCCGACATTGCAGCGTTCACCCAGAGCGTCATGGTTGCGGAGCCGACGACTGCACCGCTCTTTGTCATGGGTCGTGAGTTTGGCCAACCTGGCTTGATCTCTCGTAGAAGCGTGCCTTTGCTGACTCGGATGTGATCCGGCTGGTAGACTCCATGGGCGGCGGCGAGGTGCTGACGCTCGCTTCAATGCCCGAGTATGAGGACAGCATCATCCGACATGTCCGCGGTTGGATTCTGGAGGCGCCGTTCATCGCCTTTCCGGAGAGCGAGACGCCCAGCACGCTGAAGATGTTTGCCGGACGGCTCGCCGGGCGCTTCTTGCCTCGCTTTCACCTCGTGCATGTCATCCCGGCCGAGTGAGTCTCCTTCGCACATCCCTTCTACAGAAAGCATTGTACTGACAGCGTGGACCGCAAGATACATGTCCCGCGACCCGGATGTTGTGCAGAGCGTGAAGGAAGACAAGCTGTGCCACAACACTGGCACGCTGGAAGGGATGGCAGGCCTTCTCGACCGGACGCTGGAGCTAGTGACGGGTAAGGTGAAGCTGAGCCCTGAGGTGCGAAGCCTATGGGGTGGGCACGGCGATGCGGACATGGGCACTAGCTACGCGGCCAGCAAGGCGTGGTTCGACAAGCAGACAACGGTGGCAGACAAAACATTCAAGACGTATGAGGGCTGGTTTCATCAGCTGCACACCGAACCCAACAAGGAAGAGTTCTACAGAGACGTCGCCGAGTGGATCCTGGCGAGGTGCGATAGCGAGGCGAGTGCTGCTGCGGTGGATGGAAATCAAACACAGCAACTGCCGCAGGCGAGCGATGAGGTGAAGACAGAGAGTAAACCAGAATCCAAGCTGTAGGTATGTGACGGGTTGGTTTACTTTATGTACATCATGTAGTTGGTGTTTGGGGATAGTGGATAGGCTATGATCTGCATCTATTTTCTACCTTGTTCACTTATTGGCCCTTTGCAAGTATCGGAAAGGAGAAGAAGCCCATGTCCTGCTTACGTGCCTTGCCGGCGTTGATTAGCTGTCATACCATACTATATTACAATTCTTGGAGGCAACGTAGATGTCCTTGTGCTTTGGGTTATGAGCATTACCGACTCGGGAGGTGTGCATTTCCATCAACCTTGAACCATGTGCTGGAGCGTGATCTAGTGTCATGTCGATGATATCCAGCTTTTCAAGGACGCACTAAACAGCGCTCACTTAAGTCTGGGCTGTAATATTGTATTATCTACAACCGGTTTCCTTGCCAGTAAAGTTGGAGTGAAGGCTTACACTATGAGAAAATGTGCGGGGTCTGAGACTTGGTTGATGCCTGAGGGTGTCTTCAGCCTTGTCTAACACTTCTTCTGAAGGTCGACCTTTGAAACAAATACAAGGAAGGTAGTCGTGCTCCTCTTAAAAACATTGAGTCGTTCAAGTTTTCAGAAACTTTAGATGGCTTCAGTCCAGGGGGACAAGAAAGCTTTGAATCTTGCGCTGTCGCTCAGCAAGCTGGGGTTGTCGCCTCCTCCGTGCACAAAGCATGATGGGTTTTACACACCAAACAACTGGTCCTTCTACTCAAAGTATGAATACAGCCATCTCGATAGAAAGAGTCGCCAAATTCGCCTTCTTAAAGTCTTTTGGGTGTATAGCTTCCGCGAAGAGTATATGCAAGACCACCCTCACTGGATTAACGATCCTGAATCACCAGACGCCTTCACAACTGCCCCAGTTCTGGCATGTGAAGTCATCGACGGAGTACCACTTTCCAAATGTTCAGTGAAATACCTGACTCTGTCGTACGCAGCAGGTAATCCGAGAGACACGGATACCATACTTGTCAACGGATGTATATTTGAAGCCTTTGCACAGCTTGCCCACGCTCTTAAATGCGCTCTTTTCTATTGTGAAAGGAAAAGTCTCATTAAAGATGGGCACTGCTTGTTATGGGCGGACCAAAATTTGTATCAACCAGTCGAACCCTGAGGAGAGAGGCCACCAAGTTATGATGATGCGAGACATATATTCCCACAGTGCAACTACCCTTGTCTGCCTATCTACCAAGTTTCGAGAACTATATCCTAGGGAAAGCCAAGGAGAAGAACACAATGGCTTGGATTGGTTTATGCAGATGTCAGGTTCTACAGACAGCCTTTTTGACGTGTTATGGAACAACTGTGGCAAAACATTACGACATCCCTCGCTGTCATCATTCCTAGCCTTTGTGCGATCCCCATGGTGGACAAGGTCATGGGTGTACCAGGAGTTTATGTGTGCGCAAGAGGTCTGCTTTATTTTTGAACAAGACGACGGACCCTGGGAGGAGATATCCACACACCTTACCCCCGACCCGGGGTCCTGGGCGGATGAATGGAGCAGACGCCTGGCAAAACAGTCTCACTTGGATCTTGCTTACGTCAAGCAACTTAGTGATGATATGATGCAGCAAGAGAAAACTCCAGAAGGGGCTGAAAACCCACAGCGCCGCTCCTCGGCCCGAAGGATCGCTGCCGTTACGGTTGATAGAAACTTCGTTTACCTGATAAGTCAATTTAGAGATCCAAAGGTGCAAAGGTCCCTGCGCGCAATGGCAGACATGCTAAAGGGCCGGTCTCAGCAAGACTGCATGAGAGGGGACCTGAGAGTCCTGCTTCACCATGCACGCAACTTTCGAGCTTCGGATGCAAGAGACAAGATTTATGCATTCATTGGGCTTGCGCGGGTTGACTATGGGTTTAAGCCAGATTATACACCTACCAACACAGCCGTGCATGTCCACTCGGACGCAGCACAGAGAATCTTAGCCCATGACAAAGATCTGACCTACCTTTTGGAGCAAGCATTTGTTGGTCGAGGGGATCTTGGATATTTTCTCCCATCATGGGTACCAGACTGGAACTGCCAAGAAGACCACTCCGTCCTACAGGAACTAAAGCAGTATGCTAAGGAGGCCTTGAAACCAAGAGATTCGTCTGAACCTCTTGATTCTGATGATATCCAGGAGGTTGACGATGAAAATTTCTTGCTGAATATGACTGGTTTCGATGACAGCTCGAGCGACAAACAAGTGGCTGCCGACTTCAGAGAAAATGGTGATCAAAACCTCATGCTGCCAGTGATGGGTAATCAACTTGCGGTCCTTCCTAAGAAATGGGAGACGATCTCCCCAAATCTACGAGTGTTTGCACTCGGGGAGCATGGTATCGCTTACACACCTAACACAGCCCGTCCGGAAGATGAGATCTGGTCTCTCGCTGGATGTAAATGGCTGACACTCTTACGGCTTGAAGAGGAAGATAAGTATTACTTCGGAGGGCTTGTTATCGTGATTGGTGACTGTCGCGGTTGGAAGCCGACATCTAAAATACACCTGATCTAAAGTATTTGAAGAGGCCACGACAATTGCAGGAGCCGACACACGGTTAGTGTTTGGTTCCCGGAACACCAAGTAGACAAGAGCATAGATAGATATGTTTACGGTCATTGCCCTTACTGAGACTGGGAAAACAAAAATGGGTAGTAACTCTTTGTTGAGGAGTCTGTGAGACCTATCTCGAACTAAAATTTCATTACTAGGTCGGAAAAGCATCGGTGGTTAGACGCCGTGATGTAAATCAACCTGGTCCCTGGAAATTGGGCAAGCCAAAGGGAGAGGCTGAAGCAGAACGATGATTGTTGTATATATCGAAATCGAAAACAATAACACAGTTCTTAGACTGGTTGCTATAATGGCCCAACTGACAGTTCAACCTTATACACTTGTGTGGCTGCCTTGTTTGACCGCAAAAACCTCCCTGGCTTTAACACTGGCTTGGCAATTTTGCAAAAAGGCGCATGCTCAAACAAAATCTCTAGTCCTGTTAAAGGCGCCTGTGAAGTGTCGACTTTCAGGAAATAAGAGTGGATTCGCTCATGCACATGTCGGCAATTTCCAAGCCATCTGATAAGATCCATCAAGGTTCCAAGACCGATAGTTGATTCAGAAGTCTTGTCGGATGTTTCTTGACCAATCGACCGGCAGTGGGTTCGGGTAGGGAATGCCGCGAGGTGTGAAACCGCGCTGTGGTGGTTCCGACTGTCGCCGAAACATTGGCAATGGCGCGAACAGACAGCTGGGCGGGCTGCCTCCGGGATCTATAAGACGGACACTTCCCCGTGTCAAGCTCCGACAACATCCCCCCATTCAAACAATCTGGACTTCTTCCGTATCGGGCGGCGAAGATCTCGGCCTCCGTGAATGAGTGTTCAAGGCCGGCATGCCGAGTGGCCTTCGTGAGCTATGCCGACCCCTAACATGCCCCGCACGCCTTCAATATGATGGCACCTCCCCTCAGTAGAAAGGGGAGCAGGACACCACAGTGGTTTTACACGGGCTATGCATAGCACCCAATCACTTTTATGCCAGCTTATGCCGCCGGGCTCTCGGCTTGAGGGACATCCGCGTTGAGCGCGAGTCTAGCGATGCAACGGCGAAGGTGAAGACAAAATTGGCCTGAATGCGCGCTGTTGTCAATTGCCGCACAAGCAGGCAAAGTAAGTGAGCAACAGAGAGCAGTGGCTGCATTTCTCTATTCAGCGTTGCCACTGCGCAAAAGCTTCTTCGTCGCCCACAGTATCGCTGTGCCCCTTTATTATCTATTTCTGTCTGTCTGAGGCATCCCTTGTAGTCGAGGGATCCAAATTACAATTAGTGGTGTTTTGGAATTGCCATCTCTAGCCGCCAAATTCCCATCGTCCCTTTCTTTTTCGGGGGTGGACCAGGATCCAGTCTTGCCTATCCGTGTCCACGGCTGCCCACGTGCGAGCCTCGACACCTTCTGACCTTCCTTTTCTCCTCAGCGACCACGGTGAACACAAACTCTGCAAACTTTTGACAGCTCACCGAGAGCTGTGTCACATTGGGAAGCAGTTTTATAGTCTCTTCATAATCTTACATCCGCAGCATCATCAGAAAGCAATTTCCCGGTCAGCAGTTATCTCCGGCTCGCGTTTCTCGAGTCGCCTCGCCACACAGGATGCCTCCCAATATCCCCTCGGAGCCGGACCTTTCGGCCAGTATCACGATGCATCCCCATCCATTCCAGCTGCGCGAGTATCCCAGCCGCTCAAATAACCAAACGCCAGTCTCCTTGCGCAACATGGCTGCGCTCAGCCCTCCGGTAAACGCCGCCTCGAGCACGGGCGTCGAGACTTCGAACGAGAATGAGAGCGATGCCGTGGCTCGCCATGTGAGCGCCGACGTCGAGAGCCAGATGACTGCGGGCCGCACCGGCCGGATACCGCGATACTCGCTCGAGAACGACCCGTACGGCCTCAGCCAGGCGTACAAGACTGTCGACGAGCTTGAGCGAATCAAGGCCAACACGTCTAGGAAGCGTGACGGTCTGCCAGGCGATGCAAGCCCCGAGAGTGTCAGTGCAGGGACCGTTGCGGTGGCCAAAGGTAAAGCTGGCGGCGGCGTTCTTTCCGGCTGCATCCCGCTGCCCAAGTTTGGGCGGTCTGCCATTCAGGCTCGCCGTGTGCAAGGCTTCTACAACCGACAGAACGAGACCATTGAGCGGCTCCTCAAGTCGGTCGAGGAGCACCGGGAGGCGGCCCGTCAGGAGCAGGGAGAAGACCAATTCAAGTTCAAGATCGCCGTGTATGGGTCTTTCGTGGCCAACATTATCCTCGCAGCCCTCCAAGTGTACGGCGCAGCGGCCTCCGGGTCGCTATCGCTGTTCACGACGATGGCGGACGCGATCTTCGACCCGCTTAGTAACATCACGTTGATCCTCTCGAACCGGGCCGTGAGCCACGTGGACCCGTCGCGGTTCCCGTCCGGCAAGGCACGCCTGGAGACAGTGGGCAACATCGTCTTCTGCTTCCTGATGACGGCCGTCAGCTTCATCCTCATTGCCTTCTCGGTGAAGCAGCTCGTGGACCGCGCGGGCAGCTCCGAGCTTAACGACTTCCACCTGCCCTCGGTCATCGCCGTGGTTGTGGCTTTCAGCACTAAGCTGGCGCTGTTCCTCTACACCTGGGCGCTCAAGGACAAGTACAGCCAGATCTTCATCCTCTGGCAGGACCACCGCAACGATCTGCTGATTAACGGCTTCGGTATCCTGACGTCCGTCGGCGGCTCCAAGCTCGAGTGGTGGATCGACCCCATGGGCGCCATCATCCTGTCCGTCGTCGTGTCCGCCATCTGGCTGCGCACCGCCTTCGCCGAGTTCCTGCTCCTCGTCGGCGTCGTCGCCTCCGTCGAGACGCAGCAGCTCATCACCTACGTCTGCGTCACCCACTCGCCCGCCGTGCGCCAGATCGACACCGTCCGCGTCTACCACAGCGGGCCCCGCCTCATCGCCGAGGTCGACATCGTCATGGACCCGGGCGCCTCGCTCGCCGAGACCCACGACGTCGCCGAGGCCCTGCAGTTCAAGCTCGAGAGCCTGCCCGACATCGAGCGCGCGTACGTCCACGTCGACTACGAGACTACGCACAAGCCCGAGCACGCGTACAGGAAGGACCTCTAGGGCAGCTGTCCGAGGCCGAGGCGCAGGGATGTCGTTCGGCTTGCTAGATCGGGCGTGTTGGACGATTGACTGACCGTTTTCTGGAGAGGTATTTTGGGAGCATTACAAGGACATATCATTGCACGCATCAGACATCCATCAGCGGTGTCATTAACATCAGTCTTTACCGGCGTTCGAGGAGCAAGCAGCAGCATAAGATAGATCAATTGGCCGAGGGGCTTGGTTCACAGGGCGCTTAAGGTGTCGAGCATATTCTTGAAAAGTGTGGTGTCAATATCTCCATTATAACATCGGTACTAGCAATACGCCTAATGAAAGCCACAACCGACATATCGGGGTTGTCACATCGTAAATCGTGAGCATCGTAATGTCAAACCAGACCATGCTCGCCAATAATGCCAAAAATGAACCAAAAAAAACGTACAACACCAGGGATTCGCTGGTCGTCACCGACCCAACTACTAGTCCGGCCCTCAGCAGCTTGTCAAGTGGCAGAGCGGACGGGATGCCGAATTCTCTGCTGGGTATGGTCGTACGTATCAATTTCTGCTCGAGTTCTGGTTCTTAATGGCGTGGCATGTCTCCTGGCTCTGTCCCTCATGAGCCCACGCACATGCTTGAAGTCAATGACCCACATCTCAGAACAAGAACGGCTGAGTGTTTATGCGCCGACAGTTGGCACAGAGGTGATACAAGGAGGATCGCGGATCCTTGTCGATGCACTGATTAAGCCAGAGAAAGAGCTCCTTCGACTGCTTAGGGGTCGGCAAGTGGAGATGCACTTGTCTGTGATAGAGCTTCTTGCAGAGCCTCGCGCCGTCGGTGCTGTACTCCTTCTCTCGCCGCAAGATCCAGTCCTTGCAGTAGCAGCCTTTTCGAAATGTAATGGACGAAATTTGCACAAGCGTGGACTGCCTCAAGTAGTAGAGGAAGAAACCATCTGCTCTGTAACCAGTCCGAGGATACTTACCCAAGTAGGGTGAAGTGCTATAGCGCAGGGGGTCTAGATCGATGTCTTAACGTACGAAGGTCAAATTCAGCTTATATATAGAGACATAGGGAAATGTTTGGCGCGTCTGACTCACTTCCTACGACAAAATTATTTGTCCTGTATACAATGGGTGTCCCTTCTTCGTTGGTCTGCTTGCACGCTCGTAGGAGGTTGATGTGCGGCCTGCGGTCTGTCAAAGGGTACGCTTTCGGCCACACATAGTCCCCTGTACCCTGCCCGAATATCTTGCCGTAACCTTCGAGCAGGAGTCGCAAGTGAAGCTGCCTCCGTCTCGGAGAAATATAAATTGGATTGGGAGATTGGAGCAGAAGCTCGTAGACCTCTAATCGGATCTCATACGGTAAATCGAGGAAGCAAAACGGCTTCGCGATGTCTTCCGTTTGTGTCTGCACCTCTGTTTCCGTTTTGCTCGGAGCACCAATACGGTGCTTGGCCTTGGCGGCGGGAGAAGTCTAACATTTTCGATTAGAGGTATTCTAAAGTATCTCCTATGCTTCGTAGTGAAGTGATTATACTCGGAAGACAAAGGGACTCTTTGCAGATCCAGGTATCCCTCCAGGATTTCGCACAATAAGGACCGTGTAAGCGGATTGGAGGCTTGGAGGGGCGTTTGCCGCTAGGCAGACCCTGCAGTGGGGGTGGGCCTGCGTAGATCTTCGGGCTCACAGCTGTTCACATGACAGCCGCGCGACGTCATTGGAGAAGACGACGAGCGGTGACCTGGAAGGAAGGCAAGCAGGCAAGGAAGGGGTCGTGAGGGAGAGGGGCAATTAATCAAGATTGGGGCATGCCGTTTGGAGATCGGTGCGGATTTGCAGTCAGATGGGAAGAGTCATGACGTTTGAACGAATCGATGAAGGAGGCAGATCTTACGGCCATGTTCTGGACACTTCTCCGTCCTCGTGATGTTGAGGCAATTTGCGGGGTTGTTGCCGAGCCGAGTATCGTATCGCAACCAGAGCACTGTCGCGGCATGTTCTCCGCTCCTAACGGCGAGTTCAGTTCGTTCTCGCTGCTTGCCTGCAAGAATAGGACTTTTAGCAAGAGTCTCGGAGTCTCCTGAAGCTATGGCCATTAGCTATGATGACCTCGTCTAGATAGATAGACGCTGCAGTGCTCTTTTCCGGGTCTGGGGCCCCACATGTCTATGTAGAATAAGCTGAGTATCATTACCTTGATTGCTTCCACCTCACAAGCTGGATGCGGGGAAGCTCAGTTCTGAATGGTGATGACGGATGGCGGGGCAGGCACCTCGCATGTGGAGAAGGAAGTGACTTGAAAGTCGACTACATCGATCAGCTCTGGCCGTTTAGCGATGTACAGTGGCGGTGGTCGTGTGCCACTGCAAGTGAAGCATCGGCGTTTCGAAGTTGCGATTGGCAACGTGAAGTGATGAAATATTTGAGTGTTTTCAGACTTGCGTTTGCCTCTGGACCACAGGAGGGGGTCGCGTGAGCGGTGGAGTGAGATATATCTGTTTAGATTGCCGAGTCATTTCTAAGTAGGTAGCTGCCTAGTGTTTCGAAAGGGTAGGTGATAAATTGATATTGGAGCGAGGCTTTCATCAGGTATGCCATTGAGCTCGGTGAAGCAGGCAACCGGCCGCGCCTGCCGATGCCTGCTCCATGTCACTCATTGCGTGTGGGCAGCCTGCGGTTGTAGATAGGCGCCGACGAGGATAGGTAGGTCAAAGGTTTGCCGTGACTGCCTCTCCCACAGATCCTGATGAATCCCATTTGTAGGCGAGTCGAGCCTTATCACTGTTATCTAAACGTAATTTGCTTTGCTCTGGGCATCAGTAAGGCTCAACTAAGCTACGAGAGATCGAGAAAATAATAATAATGGATATGCGATAGAAACAGAAGACTTTCCAAGATACGAGGGAACTGCCTGCCGTGCCGATCCGATCAATCGCATCCACTCTTGGTAGCTACTGCATAGTATGTAGTCAAGTAGTCAGCGAAGGCACGATAGATGGTTCAAACTACTGATCTAATAAAGAAGGAACGTCCGTCGAACTGGTTGAGGCCCAGACAATGGCTTGTACTGCGGTATATGGCGTGCAGGCATCTACCTCACACTAAGAAAGAATGAATCTCGCTAGAATAGCGCCCCACACCATCTCTTCGTGTAAGACCTTACCGTTTTCCCTAGTGTTTTGTTTCCTGGACGGGCTTCTCAGCCAGCGTGCGAGCCACGTTCCTTTTCTTTCCGGGCGAAGGAAAAAGAAAAGCTGCAACGCCAATCATTCTTTTATTTTAGTCTAACGGTAGATAATTTGTATACTCAATTTCCTCGAATCCGCGAAACGGCGACAAGAAGGCAATTCGCGACAGTTGTGCCACGGAGATAGTACCTACAAAGCATCCCCTTCTCGAACCAATTGAATGCCTCTCAAAGTAATGCACGGTTCAAGAGTATGCTCATTCTCCTGAGAAGGGGTCTGCTCGACATGGCGATTTGCAGCATCAATGGCCTTCTTCTCTGTAGGAGCTGTCTCCCACGCTACGTGATGCTATCTATATTGTGTGCAAGGTGAAGAAGGTAGATACATGTATGTGGCAAGTCAATGTCATGTAGACCTTTTGTCGCGGCTGCCAGCCAAGATGGTCATGTACTATAGGTGGTCTAGGGAACCAGTCTCCGGAATAACGTAAGTTAGCCAGCCCATGCTGTACATTGCCTTACTGCGTACATTCCCACTACGCGTACATGTAGACTAATGAGCGGCAACATCATGCATGGGGAGGTGGAGGTGGAGTGGTGTGTATCTGCTCTGGAGACTAGGGTATATACAACAAGCCTGCATGGATATGGATGGATGCATGCGCGCCGTGTTAAACGAAGACGCCGTAGTCGCCAGCAATTTCCCGCTGGCGATACACACACACACACACCTTTCAATCTCTTATTATCTGTCACCTACCTACCTAAGCACTTGGTGTTTATATTGCTTTGGCAGGTCTGGAGCTTGGGGTTGGGGGAGAGGTGAAGGCCAAGGCGATGAAGTGACTGATGCTTTTAGCTCTAGTCCTGGACCCATTTGGCTGGCCGCACTAAAGAGGCGGTTTGGGTATGGCGTACCAAGGTAGTATGCCTTTCCCCTGTTCCTAACGTAGCGGCAGTCTTTACCGCAAAGTACCTGATATCGTCATATCATCCATCCATGCATCCATCGTCTGCTGCCGCGTCGTGGTGGTATTCTTCGCTATGTACCCTGCCGACCACCACCATCAACAGCGATCCCTGCTCGCGGGCTAGCTAATGGAAGCTGCAGAACGAGAGCGAACTTGCACCGTGCTTCTCTTCCCTGTCTAGAAAGCTGTTTTTTTTCGCCTGATCCTGGTCGGTGTCCGTGTGCGTGAAGTCCCCATGTCAATCCGTCCCTCTGCCATCCAACGCCCGCGCCCGCCACTAACAAAAACACTGACTGACTGACCGACCAACTGGGGACGGGCAGCCACTACGACGAGTACATGTACTACTAACACCGGGCCCCAACGCCGGTGCTGCTTGCTTGCTTGCTTGCTCGCTCGCTCGCTCTGCTCTACTCCTCCATATGATCTTTCCGGTCACTCCTTCTCCTGCCGCTTCTCTGCTTTTCCCTTCAAGCAGCATCTGTACTATAGCTAGCATTCGAGCATTCGCATCGGCATCTCTGCTTTTTCATTTCCTTTTGTTATTGACTGATTGTTTGCTGTTCGTCTCGTTTTGAGGTCGCTAACGAGGCTTCCTGCACACAATGGCTGTGCAAGGCGGGGAGGATGTTTACGCAACGGTACGTACGATAACTTCTGCTCTGCTCTGCCCGCGCCGCACCGCACCACACCACGCAACATCACAGCTCGCCCACGCCCCCACGAGCTTCGAAACGAAGAACTGCGCTGACAATTGCCTTTCTACAGCTTCTATTGAGCGATACGTACTTGCCAGGTAGCTACATCCCCCTCAATTGCTGCGGAATCGCCGGCTGATGTTCTCGTGTAGGAGCTCTGGTCCTGGCACACTCGCTCCGCGATGCCGGCACCACCAAGAAGCTGGCCGTTCTGGTCACGCTTGACTCGGTGTCTGGTGAAGTAATATCACAGCTGAAGGTGAGTTCATCCTCCAGGTCCTTTTGGTCTCTTGCGCAATGCTGACATGACAAGACCGTGTACGATTATGTGATACCCGTACCACGCATAAAGAACGAGAAGCCGGCGAATCTCAACCTCATGAACCGCGCCGACCTGCACTCGGCCTTCACCAAGATCCACTTGTGGAAATTAACGCAATATCGCAAAATTGTCTATATCGATGCTGATGTTGTTGCTTACCGGGCTGTCGACGAGCTCTTCGATCTCCCACACGCTTTCTCTGCCGCTCCGGACATTGGCTGGCCGGACTTATTCAACACTGGAGTAATGGCTCTCACACCGAATCTAGGCGACTACTACGCCTTAATAGCCATGGCCGAGAGAGGCATTTCCTTTGACGGTGCTGATCAGGGCCTTCTCAACATGTACTTCAAGAATGACTATAACCGCCTGTCATTCACGTACAACGTCACTCCCTCGGCGCACTATCAGTATGTACCCGCATATCGGCACTTTCAGTCCAGCATAAATATGGTCCATTTCATTGGCCCCGAGAAGCCGTGGTTCAAAGGGAGGCAAACAAGCGACAGCAATTCCCCATACGACGAGATTTCTGCGAAATGGTGGGCTGTGTACGATCGCCACTATAAGGTTCAAGTACGTCTAGCTTTCCCGCTCTCAGACTTTTACAGGTCTCTGACAATTCTAACAGACACCCGCGCCGACACCCGAAGGAACGCAGCAGGATCAATCACAGAGGCCGCCAGAATTGGTACAGTACTTTGTCAAAGGAGAATACCAACCCACGATGAAATATGTAGTCCCGACAGGAGAGCCACACGACCAAGGATTTTCTACTTACGGTCAGCATTACGATATACCCCCAGCGCATATTCAGGATTCGTCAGCATTTGTTTCGCAAGCATCTGAGCATTTTCAAGCACTATCACCATCTTCAATACCCCCTACGCAATATCATTACCACCACCACCATCACCAAAGTCACGAGCCTCCTGTTGAACAGCACCATCAACACGATACTCACGACCGTCACCACCACCATCAAGAACCACAATATCATTATCAAGACCAACCTCAGCCTGGGACTACCTCCCAGCCACCTGAGCAACAACCCCCCGCCCCCAGCGAGTCTTTTAGTACTGTTGAGGGGACCCATACTGAGGCTCGAAAAGAGCAGGTATCAGAGCACCAGCAATGGGCTCCTCCACCACCTCACCAGGAGACTGAGCACAAGCCTGAGAAGCCTCAACCGCCTCCCATGCAACCTAGTTGGGATGCTCAACGGTTAGTCCAAATTCCTGCACATCTAATTTGAAAAGAGAAAGAAAAAAAGAACAATCACTAATTTCAATGCAGAATGTCTCCTCCGCCAGATTCGAAGCCAGAAGCCGCGAACTTTCCGTCAATACAATACGAAATGTCTTCTGATGTAGCTCCATTCGTTCCTCCCAAACGGTACCCAAGCCCACCGAGGAACATGTGGTATGAGGTGCCAAAAGATAAACCCGCTCCTTCAACCGAGAAGCCCCGCGCGATTTTCCCCTGGGAAACTCATCAACCGCGGGCTTCGAGAGTCTTCGCTAACGACCCGTATGAAAACGAGCCGCCTGTGACTGGGGAATCGACGATTGAGCCGTCTGGTGAGCCCAAGGCTTCATTCGCACCCCACGCGCCCGTAACTGAGCCATCTGTCACAGAAACATCCTCTGCGGAACATAAGAGCGAGCCTCAGACACCTACCACACCAACCATCCGAGTTGTGCCCTCGGACCCCTGGTCCTCCTTCACACGGTTCAACGCCTGGGATGACGTGCCTGAGATTGACAAGTACGTCGATACCCTGCCATGGCACCGTAGGACGAAGAGCCAGGGGACTCCAACGGGGCAGAAATCGCCTGGATCTGGTGGTGGGACGGATCGAGGGCAGAACGAAACGTCCGCCGCTGCAGCTTGGCGGAGGCACGGCTCTAAACTGACCGACTTTCCGACCGAATTCGAGCGACCCAGTCTACCTGTCACTCCAGCACCTATTCGCCGGCCGAAGTTCTGGGGCGGTGGTGGCCCAGGCATCGCCGGTGAAGGTGAGGAAGATGACGAGCAGCTGCCGACGGCCCAGGGGGTGCCTCGGCAGGCTGACTGGGTATGTGTGCATGGGAATTTGTGGACCCCAGCAGACTGCCTCTGTGACTTGACTAACATACTTCGATACTACAAGGACCCCGTAGCGCAGCTTCAGAAACTGGCTAAGCAGCAGTCTGAGCTGCTACTCAGGAAGCTTGGCGGCGGGGAAGACGCTGGTGGCGGTTCAAGCGAGGGAGGCTTTTCGGTACGTCGAGAGATCCCCGATCGCCCGCTCCCCTTTGGCTCTGAGGACGTTAAGTCGCCAACATATGTTGCGCAGTCTTCGGGCGTGCTCAGTCCTCAGCCGGTGAAACCTGGCGCGGGGCCTCGCAGCATCTTGGGCGAGCAGGAAGCCATACCGCGCAGCACCGCTGCAGCGACGACCTCGACGTCGGGCTCATCGATTCCTGAGCCGGCATATCACGGCCCGGGCGTCGCCTGGGAGAAGGACGAGGACTTTTTGCACCAGTCCGCACCCTTGCCACCCACGGAGGAGGAGGAAGACGTGCTGGACACATGAGGATGGCGGGGACTCGTGAGCATATGTCCTGTTTCTAATCTTTAATCTTAACCGCAACACAACAGCAAATGTCAGTCTTGGTCTGGACGATGAGGATTTCACAGTACGGGAGGTTGTTATTGGAGCAATTGTATGATACACAGACTCGGGGTCGAGGAATAATCGAATGAAGTAGGCACGGGCTCAGAAAGGCTATCTGAGACAAAGGGCCCGGAAGCGCAGCTACAAGACTAGGGCTTCGGGTGGAAGAAGCGCAGTCGAAGTGCGATAGATGGAATGGACCGAAGGACAAATTATGAATGAATAAATACCTGTTTTGAGGCAGCACATATTCAATTCTCCCTGCCTACCTCGCTCACTACTTTTCACTGCTTTAAGTAACTTGTGAAATACCGGTATCATGATCAATTGGACTATCCATATCATTGTTCCTTTCCTAATATTGAGTGTTTACTACTTGACTTCCTCCTCTCTGAGGGATGCTCTTCTGGGTACTGGTTCAAAAAAAACAAAACAAAAAAATGCATCTAGACACGCTCTTGTGGTGCTGGAATCCACTTCCTAATCACCTTCTTCATGTACTCGTCCGGGAACCAACCACCCGTGAGCGTCGCCTCGGCGAGAGCGCCGTTCATCACCTCCGCGTAGCCCTCCACCAGAGGAGCAACTTCCCCCTGTGGAAGCTCAACGACCTCCTGCTGTCCCTGCTCCGGCTCCGGCTCAGGGGCGGGGGCAGGCTTGGTCTTCTGTGGCGGCGGCGGCGGCAGCTGTTTCGGGCGGCCTCGGCGGCGCGGGCGCCCCGTCTCCGTGACGTCCTCGTCCGCCTTCTTCTTGTCCTCCTTCGTGTTCTTGGGCGGCGGGGCCACGGCGTCCTGCTCCGGCCGCGCGGGCATGTGGTACCTGTCGTCCGGGGCGCGCATCACGAGGGCGTCGACGCGGCCCACCGTGCGCAGGGCCTGCGTGCCCGGGTGGCCGGCGCGCACGGGGTGGCGGCGGTTGACGTGCGCCTGCAGCTCGACGCTGACCTTGGCCTTGTGGAAGTCGTGCTCGCCGCGGCCGGCGAGCGCGGCCATCGCGACGAGGCTGTCGTGCGAGGGGCACTCGTACAGCATGCCGTAGACGGCGTCGCCGGGGGAGGGGGCGATGGTGGGCAGGCCGGAGGCGGGACTCTTCTTGGGCGGCGCGGTGCCGGGTAGGGGGTTGCCGCAGATGAGGAAGCGGTGGTTGCTGATCTTGCCGATGGCGACGGGCACGGCGCCGGCCTCCTCGGTGGCGTCGCTGGGGTGGATGTTGCTCGCGTAGGAGAAGAAGTAGCGCGTGCCGTGGCGGAGCGACTTGACATTCTCTAGGGTGCGTTTGCAGAGGTCACATCTGCACGGGCCGAGGATCGTGTCTATCTCCATCGGCTCCCCATCCCATTGCAGGTCTGAGGGTGTGGGGAAGGGGGATGAGTCGAATGGGACTGGCGTCGTGAATGAGCCAAAGGTGGGACAATTTAGAGTGTTCGGATCAATATCTGCGAAGGAAGACTCTTCCCATGAATTGGCATACTGCTGCGAAGCACTGAAGATGCCGTTATATTTCCTCGGCATAGGGTCGTATGGGTTTGGTGAAGAGATACGGGGAGGAGGCCTGGGGATACGAAGGGGATCGTCGACAAAGAGGTCACGAAACTCGGGCTCTGGGGTCTTTGCGGCGCGCGATCGTCTCTTCGGTCTTGTGGCTGTGGGCTTTTCTGCTGTCTTTTGGGAAGATTTCGCAGTTGCAGTTGTCTCTTTGGCGGGTTGGGAAGGGCCGGCCTCAATCTCCAGGTTTTCAGATTTTCTGGCACTTGGTGTGACAGTTGTCTTCTTTGCCGGTCTGCCACGCTTCTTAGGCGGTGCTGCGACCTCAGCAGGTGGTTCTTCGGCCTTTCGTTTGCCTTTCGCCTTCTCGGATAATGTAGGAGCTTCCTGAGTTGAGGGAACAGGAGTTTGGGCTCTCTGTTTGCCTCTTGTTTTTGCGGACAATATAGGGGCATTCTGAGTTGCAGGAGCGGGAGTAGGGGTAGAGATAGGCATTGGCGAGGCTGCCTTCTTAGCAACCTGATTTTTCTCCTCAGGTTGAGCCTGGACGTGGCCAGTCGATGTCCTTGCGGCTCTTTGTCTCGTCTCTCTTCCGCTTGAGAGCGATTTTGAGGACATGCCCTTGATGATAGCTTGAGCAATCTGCTGCTCCATAGTGGTGAGCTTCTTTGCCACTGCTGGGTCCAGCTCAGTCTCAAGGCTAACATTGCCGACCAGCTTCTTTGCGAGTCTCTTCCGCTTGCCGGTAGGGTCAGGAGACAGCTGAGCTAGTGTCTCTGCACCCACAACCTTCTCTGTCTGCTTTGGAGTGGCCAGGAGGGTTTCTTGATTATGGGGCTCCTGAATAGCGGCCACATCTTGGGCCTTGGGCTTCCTGCCACGCTTCTTTGGTGGCTCGACTGTGGTTGCGTCGTCCTGCTCTCCTCGCTTTCGCTTGCCACTTGAAGCGATAGGTTCATCATCGGGGGGTGAAACAAATTGTGATGAAGGGGGAGTGTTCGGTGCATCAGACATCGTCTTTTGCGTACTGGGTGCTTCCGTGCCGTCCTCGCCCTTGATACCCTTGTTGGAAGAAGACACAGGCTTGACGAATTGAGGAACTGACTGGGAAAGAGAGAAAGGAGTAGGGGTAGATGGATTAGCTGCCTTGATGTCCTGGCCTTCGTCATCGTACTCTGGTGGAGTGGGCATCTTGTTCGTGAGCTTGATCTTCAGGCCACCAGTTGATTTCGAGAGAATGGCTACAGCTGGTTCAGAGGTGAATGCATGGGCAGCTGGAGAAGAAGAGGATGACTTTGCAACAGTTTCGCTTGGCTGAGTGAAGCCATTCGTGACATGAGATGGATTCTTGATGGTGATCTTGGTGGGAGATGTCTTGGGTGTAGAAGAAGTGGCACTGTTGGCCCGACGGGCTTCAGTTGGCGTGTCACCGTTCTCCATAGCGACCTTGGCGATCATCTCCGCGGTGCGTCTCAGGGACGCAGCTTTGAGCTCTTTGCTGATATCATCCTCCGTGACAGTGGAGTTGGTGTTGACAGTAGTAGCCGGCTGCTGGGGTGGAGGAGTAGCCCCTCCTGAGGTACGGCGAGCAGCTCGGCGAGTGGTCATTGGGCTGGGCCCGGATGGGAGACGGGAGTAAGGCATGATGAATTCAGAGTAAAGTATCAAAAGGGAACAATTCAGTGATGATACGCGATGAAATGGGACAAGTAAAGATCAAAGCTGTCCGTCCAGTCCGAGATACCAGCTCGACCAATATCAGCGGATGCAGGGTTTTGGCTGATGTGACGTATGTATCGTGCAGGCGAGCGTCCAGCTCGATGGAAAAGAGGTAATCCGTCCAAAGAAATTAGTGACAAGGGATAACCAGGATGAGCCAATTCAGTCCTGATATCTGGCGAAGGTTAGAAAAATTGGTGGCGGGTGAGGGAGTGCCAGTGAAGAAAATCTCCTGAAGGTGGGCGGGAAGCGAAAACTGGGTGTGATGGCCAGCCGATGAAGACGGTATTGGTGCAATGGAGTAGCAGCTCCTGATATTGAGGGAATGCATTCAGATTAAAGGGCTCCAAACTTACAATAGCGATGAGAAACGGTCGCGGACAATAGATGGGGACAATGCCTTCTATTGTGTGACTGTCTGAATGCTGAGGTGCGATTAGCTCGCAGCGGGACCAGGCGGACAAGACGGGGGGCTATTCAGCCTTCCCACTGACCTATTGTTCGCAACGGGTGCTCTCCTCTCAAAAACCACCTCGCTAACAAGAAGAAAATGAAGCCTGGACAATCACATATCTCACAGCAGCATTTTCATCGTGGAGAGGTCGTGGTTGTCGGCGGGTTACAGAGAGGTTGCGTATCTATGTGGTTGGCTGGGGGCAAATGAGGGATCCCGGATTTCCAACGTCTCCTTTTTATCTCTCGGATCGGTTGTCTCAGGCCACACCACTCACTCACGCCCACGCCTGCTCACCCATGCTTCCTTCAAATCACACCGTCGGCGCACAATAAGGCCTGGCTTGTATACTACTAGACAGCTTGAGAGTAAATAAATACAAGTAAACATTGCAGGAAAATCTCATAACTCTCAATGCAGCAGTGTGTAATTTGCTGCGACATTGGCCGAATACTTGACTCGTGTGTACATGCAACAAACCTTGGGCACTACACGCAATGCCGGACGTCTAGTCTCAGCTGCAGTAATCAGAAAGTCCAGTTTTGCTTGTTCTTGAATATACTCTTGTCTGTTGACTGATCTCGTTATTTGAGCACCTCTTTGCACGCCTCCCGGGGGCAGCGAGGGTTGCTTCCCCACTTTGACTCCTGCATCTCTGAGTGAGCACAACCACTGCCCGGAAGTGGACGACAGCCTCGAACTCGCCCTCAGCCATATACCGTGAGAGTGCCTCGGCAAGGCTTCTTAACCATGAGCAAGCTAGATCATTCCGAGCGGACTGCCAACGAGCCCCGTGATTCTGTATCGTCTCGCTCCGTCCTCCTGCTTCTCGGACCCTAGCTGACTGACAGGCGACCAGTCTCTCCATACTGTCCTTCTCGCCCGCATAGATGAGATCAACGACCATATTCGCATCTTTCGTCTGGAAATACCCCCTACTCTCGGCTCTATAGAAGTGACAAGGTCCGGCTTGCTGTAAATAAGTTGCCATGCTGATTTCGTATAGTTCTTGCCCGGCCAGTGGCTAGACACCTATGTACCGGAGATTCCGAAGCCAGGCGGCTTCACCATCACCTCGCCACCGTCAAAAGCGCAGCGCGGCTTCGACCCAGATGCACCGGCTCCATATCTCGAGCTTGCGGTGCAGAAGTCCCCTGACAATGCCGTAGCCCAGTGGCTCTGGCAGCCCACAGAGTCGATCCTCCACTCGCAACTGCGGGTCCGCATCGGTGGCAGCTTCGTATGGCCGCCGCCGAGCATCGATCCGTCGACATTGAAGAAAGTTGTCTTCGTTGCTGGCGGTGTGGGTATAAATCCGCTCATCAGCATTCTGAGCCATATCGCTGGGACGGGTGGCGATGCACCGCCGTACGATGTTCAATTTTTTTACTCTTTAAAAGACCCGGGACCGGACCGCGAAGCTGATAGCATGCCTTTCATTGAGAGACTTGCATCGATTTTCTCCAGAGAAAAGGTGAAGGGATCTCTGCATTTGTTCTTGACTGGCGGTGAGCAAGACGCAGGGGGTGACAGTACTGTCCTTGCTTGTAACGAACTTGATCTACCATTCGAAAAGAGGAGGATAACCCAGTCAGACCTAACACAGGCGATTGGCCCAGACAAGGCGTCTGTGGTAGTCTATATTTGCGGGCTTCCAACAATGACAGACGAGTTTGTGGAGAAATTGACGTCTCCAGGAGGGCATGCTTTGGATCCGAGTAGAGTATTGTGCGAAAAATGGTGGTAAATGATTTCACATCCGAGTGTTAAATATGCGGGTAATTTGCAACCCTGGGTATCAGTTGCATCCCAAACATGATGATGCAAATGGGTTCGAAAGACTTGTTTCATGAAGCATCTATAGACCGGGGCTGAGACGGTCGGGTGGTATCTACATACAGAACAGATCTGCGTAAGATCTGGAGGTGACAGCTGCGATAGAGAAGCTATGGAGACGAATTTTGACAGTATATGTCTCCCCAAGGAACAGGATCCATTTCTTCCCCTTCATATCCAGTTTCCCTGTTCCTCGAACGCATGTCTTCCAACGAGGGGACTTGAGTCCTGGCGATGCGTCTCCATCCGGACAGCCTTGTCTGGTGACCTAGATCTAGATCTTATGCGTCCTAGGCTTCCGAAGAAAGAGCCTCCTGATTTGCGACTTGGACGTGGACTCCATATCTTGCTAGACTGGGATGGCGGCAAACCAAAGTGAGATGGAGATGGAGTGCGACGCATCCACTCGGATTCGCTCAGGGTGCAAGGTCCAGGTGCTGGAAGTTCCAAGTCATTATCGACCTCCTTTCCCAGTACTTGCCTGACTTTTGGACTAAGACTTCCTCCTGAAGATCTCTGGAGACTCTGCGGCGTGGAGAGAAGTGCCAAGCTCCGCTCCAAAGCACTTCCAGAGCTTGCCAAATAGTGTCCTGGTGATAACAGTGAGTGCTTCTTGATATCGGGAGTAGATGCAATTGAACCTTCATAATCCGAGGACGATATATCGTCAGAGGGATGAATGGAATGATCATGCTCAAGCGATCTAGCTGTAGGCTCGGCGTTTGTTGGAAGGAGCAGCTCAGTAGCTTGACCTACTACCACACTCTCGTCCATGAACAACTCATCATTAACGAATGGTAAAAGCGATGGTGTAATAGAAGGCGCACGAGAATCGGTCGATAGCTTTCTTGAGCGAGCCAGGGAAGGCTCGGTATCTGGGACTCGAGGGAGCTCCGGCAGTGGTCGTTGAAGGTAAGTGTCCAATGGGCAATCTCGAAGAGCTTTGCTCGGCTGCGGGATGTACTCATTCAAGGGAGACACAGGGCGTAGCTCTGGGGTGCTATTAAGAGTATATGGATTTCTACTCTCCTGTTCCCCATCATGGCAGTCTTTCTCTATGCTGACGCGGTCCACAATCAGACTATCGATGGATTGCGTTTCGATTAGGTCCTCTACGGGTGACGCGTTTTGCACAGTTTCCTCGTCTTCGACAATGGTATTCGACTTTTCTAAGTTGACAATACACACCTCTGAAGGTATCAAGCTCAGTTGTCGGAGATTTTTCCACGAACGGTAGTGGAATCGGAAAGTTGCATATGGGGAGTCTTTCGCTGGAGGGGGAAATGTCAGTAGACTTCTAAATATTCTCGAGTCGTCAATACTTACCGTCGATCAGGTGAAAATCATAGAAAGTGGCATCCTCAGGGGCATCGAGTAGCCCACCACTCGGGGCCCTAAACAGTTAGTTCATGCATGCGATAGCAGAATTAACGACATACGTAATGCCATACTTCTCCTGATTACGGAACTGATCCAATTTTGCAGCCCTTCTACGCCTGCCATGTGATCTAAAAACTTGGATCTCAATGGTTCCACCCTCTTCAGCAACAGACCGCTCTTCTGGATCAGATGCGAAGTGAAAGGATCTCGACTCAATGCCATCACGCTTCAATATGACACCATCCTCCTTGTAATGCCATCGATCTGAGGGCTCGAACAAGGCTCTAGTAATAGTTCCTTTGGTTTTGACTCTTGGATTAATACCCCAGGAAGTGGTATGGCTTCCATTCATGTACATCTTGAAGAAGAGCTGACAAGAGGGAGAAGGTGGACGACCGATAGCGTACTCGAGCCAAAATTTGACACCTATAAGATCGTTAAGCCAGGGACCACAGAAGGAAGCAGACTTGACTCACCTGGCAGGGAAGGAATGTAGACAGAAACTCTGGGATTCAACTTCTGCGGTTGGATGGACGATCTTCCTGATTCAATGGATGACAAAGAGGGTTCCTGCCTTAGCATGTTCTGATCGTGCTTCTCATGTGGCTTTCGAAGACGCACAGAAGCTCCGTCAGGATGTGGGTATTCTGGTAAGGTCTTGGGGACCGATTCTGTGATAACAGAAATGTCTATCCCACGAAAGCATGGCATCTTGAAGAACGTTGCTGTAATATCATTTGATGAAGTGCGGCTCAGAATTTGTCAAATATATAGTCAATGCAGTAAGCCTCACTCTCGAGGGAGCAACGATATGATTGAAAGGTGAGTCTGCCTTGAGGAAGACAGGCGGTCAACCTTGAATTTCACCAAAACCACGGCAATAGCAAGACTGCCTATTAAGTTGAGGATGACAAGTTGATGGAGGTGCAGAGCGGATCTGATTCAGGCAGAGAGGACGCACTTGCCGAACAAGAGCACCAATCTGGACCGAGAAGACGCTCGACACAGTCGGAATGTGAGCGCTATTTCAGAAATGAGCCTGCTCCAGATTTATATGACACAGAGGCTGAGAAATATGCGACGGCTGCCGATTAGCCGCTCTTTACAGACGGTAGTAAAAAAGGGGTGCAAAATAATTGACCTCGATCTGAGCAGGTCCAAAGTATGAGTTTGGGAAGGGTTGTAAATATTGGGGAGAGGGTGCAGAGGGAAGGAACGAAGCCAGCGAAGATAACTCAGAGTAATAAGGCAAGTGCAGCCTGGGAGGGCGCGTGAGTGACCTTCCAGCTCAAATGTACCAGTCAACGTCCCGCCTCAAAGAGTAGAACCCGATAAAGTGCTGCCAAAATCAGTTGAGTGACACGAAAGGCTCGTCTAGAGAATACAGTTCGATCTCTGATGACGGCCCGTCATTATTCTACCAGATTCTCTCTCATATTGCCAGCCATTTGGTCATCTGCGATCGATCCGGTTGGAGAAACTGTGGATGTCTGCACACCATTTCCCGTCCGAGTATGTGCAAAATCACGGATACCAAAATACAATGGGAGAGCATCTACCGCTTGTTCCTGAGCGATTCTCTTTTCTGTTCCTACAAGCCGGGCTCTATGTACACAGGCATCGAAGGCTCCCGCCGACCCGCCCTCATCTCGCACCAAGCACTTCCTTGGTGTCGTCCTCCTTGTTCAGCAGTCCCAGATTCCGTATTTGTCCGGCACTTGGCGCATTCTCTCTAGCAGTAGAAGCCTCGGCTCTTCGGTATGCGGTCTGTAGTGCTGTGACTCTCGCAGCCTATCGACATAATCCGATTAGCTGGGTTTTACTCTTCAATTGCACCAACAATGCCAGAGCAACGAACCTCCTTCTTGTGATGTAGGCACTCGTAGTAATCCTCTAAAGCAGGAGCACACTTTCTTTTCCCTGAGTCGTCCTCCCCGGATGTGTTGACGACATAGCAAGCAAGGAGCTCTTGCCAGAAAGGAAAGCATCGGCCAGGACCTGCAAAGGACGTCGGTCAGTAAGTTTTAAAGGGTTTCAGTGCCCATTGGCTCGTCGCTAGTTGCTTACCGCCGTGTAATCCATAGCCTGACGACATCGCGATCGTTGTTGGGTGCTTGCCGAGAACGTTTATGCTAAAGATCGAGAGTGAACTTGCATGGGCCTCGTCGATTGACGTTCTTCGAGTTCAGAGCCCGGGAGCTCCAATCCAGATTGTCCGGGCCCTCATTGGTTGACATGCTGCACGGGTATTGTGGGTCAGGTACAATGGTACCTCATCAGTTCAAGCCACATCAAGAGCAACAGCTACCGCACGCTAGGTGCAATCGATTCAAGGTGCCAGCTCCAATTCTTGGCACTTACACCTCGAGTTCGACCAACTTAAGCCAGCACATACACGGGAAACCGCACTCCCGCGAAGAGAGGATCATGAAGGACGGATTGCCAATACGAAATCGCTAGATTACTCTCAACGCGATAACGACACGGCACGCATTATGACGCTGGTGCTCTCGGCCCCGAAGCTTGTCCTGCTAGCTGTCCAGCTGGCTGCCAAAGCCGACATTGACAGCTTGGCCTTCCTTGCTGCCCACCACGGCACTGTCCTACGCAAGGACCTACTTCTGCGCATCCTCCTCACCTACCTTCCCGAGACCTTGAATTCGGAGAAATATGTGTCGTTCATAGAAGAAATTGAAGCTGGCGACTTTGAAACTAGGGATCCTGTGGCTATCGACTGCTCGTCAGTGGAACACTTGACCGATGAAGTAGCTTTGAAAAGGGTCCGCAAGCTGCATCTGCTGCAACTAACATGGCCTGATGCGCCGGAAGAGGCTACAGAAGACCCGACAACCTTGTTTCTGCTGCGGCGAGCATACAATGTGGACGAGGAAGCCGGCTTGTTGACACAGCTGCCCGATCTACTTGTGCCGTTCCTAGACCATTCACCTTGCATCCGAACGTGGACTATATCCGTTCTCCTGCCCCTCCTACGGCGTAATTACGAATACTATCCGCAAGATAGCATACCGCAGACGCTATCCGCCTTCGAGCATCTGAATGATCGTGCCGCAGTGAGCTTACTGCTATCGCAAACAGGAGCGCGAGAAGAAGACTACCCCTTAGTTGGTAGAGATCTAAGAGGATTGCTTGGTCCATGGCTATATAATGAAAAGAGATGGGAAACACGGAAATCTGGGCAAAAAGCCCCAGATTCACTAGATGAAGGTGCACAAGGCATAAAGCTTTGCCCTGGCTGGGAGCAACTACTGGTTTGGTTGACTACTCAGGCGTCAAAATCTTGGAAAGTTGCTGTGAGCGCAATTGAGCAGTGGGATGGCCCAGAAGACATTGATCTAGGTGGCTACGGACAGATGTGGCTAGATGATGCTGAGCAAGAGTATCTCGAACGCAGATATGCACGAGCTGCGTTGGCAGCTGCATATCTCATCCCTGAGGGACATACAGAAGCGTTAACTGGGGCTTACACCATTGCCGCCAAAATTGCAACCCTTTTGGACCAAGATCCGCTGCCGCCTCTACAGACTGCTGCATCTCTCTTATCACCATTCTCTGAATTGAATGGAGCAGATGTTCTCTCTTCCAGGAACGCAACCTATCTTCGAAACAACCTCTTAGAGGAGTCTAATGTCCTGACCACGCCATCCAAGACAGCTACGACTGTGTTGTATGCGCTGGTACTGAGTGCGTATATTCTAGAGAAAGCAGGATCGTCTTGCTCGGTACGAAGAGCAGGTGAGCTGGCGATGCTACAAGACGAGCGGGAACAGAAGTCCGAGGCCCTCAAAGTAATACGTGCAATTGGCAACAACGGGCCAAAAACGGACGACAAATACTGGATTCGAGTCAGGAATGAAATCCTTTGGCTACGAGACTTTGGAGCTGAAGAAGATTCCGATGCCAGCCCTTCTCAGCGATATAACGGGGTGTTCGGCCAGTTGAAGAAGGAGTTTCTTGAGGTGGAGATCCTCAATGCCCTCCTTACCAATACGAGTAAGTTCGACGACAGCATGTAATACAACCGTTGCTAAATAATATGCAGGATACACTCTAGCAAAATCTCTGTACGAGGACGCAACGGATAAGCCGTTGCCGAAGAAGCTTTTGCAGGACACGATATATGCTGCAGCAATGCATGCATATGACAATGCCTCAAATCCAAATCGCACCAGGGGCGGCTTGAAGAAGTGCGATGAAATGTAAGGGTCTAAGCCTCCTAGAGGAAGGCTAAACTAATATCTTTGAAGTCTTCGTGCATTTCCAATGACGATAGAGCGGTCTCTTGTGGCTACACAAAGGATAGAAGCATTACTCAAGGCGACGCATGGCTTGAGTAACTACCGTTTGGTGCTAAAACAAGGGGAGCCCTTCACCCCAGTCGTGCTTCGCGTTCATTCAGATCCAATTTCGATCATTGGCAAGGTTCTTGAGCAGAACCCCAAGAGCTATACGAAGATTCAAGACCTGATAGATATGGGAACCAATATGGTCGCTGCTGGCTTGACTTTAAAAGACAAGTCAGGTCACTCCACCCTCACACCGGAACAAGAACCTGGACAACTGTCAATCGCTGAAAAGCGAATAACCGCTATGTGCATTGACGCGGCATTGACTGAAGATGATTTCGAAACGGCTTATGCATATGTTGTCAACCGGCTTGCAGCAATCGGTGCACCTGCACAGACTAAAGGTCACACTGGAAACACAGGAGCTCAGCCATCTAATAGAGTCGTAGATGACTGGTCTTGGAAGGCGGCTTTGCAAGCAGGTAAGTACCGCCGTACGTCAAGAACTGTGCGTCCAACCCATTTGGGCACCGCCAGCGGCAATCCGGATATCCGCCACCTTGAGCAGCGGATAGAGTGTCTGGCCACAGCACTTCGGATTGCGCCGGCTCCAACACTCCAAGAAATTCTCAACACCTACCGCAGATGTGAAGAAGAGCTTGACTCTGCTATCAAAGCCGAGGTGGAGCAAGAGGAAGCGTGGGATGAGGCTGGCGATTTTGGGACAATGCCAGGCGGTTTTGACACAGCGCCCACTGCGCGAAACGCTACTGCATCAGCAAACAAAGCATCATCGTCTCGACAGCAGACTGAAGAGGCACCGATGTCGCTATTCGATCTTTCTAGAGCCAGTGTGCGATCAGCACAGCGCAATTTTACCGCATTATCAAATTTACGCTTGACTACCGAAGCACGGTCGTCAGAGGCGCCGCATAGCTCACCTGAGCATAGTGAGCAGCAGCAGAGAGTGAGAAAGAGAGATCAGCTCAGAGATGCTACGATGGGCACATTAGTATCAGGCGTTGGTTGGCTCATTGGCGCTCAACCGGCGGCTAATCAAGGCCAGGAGAGGGAATGATGGTTGAGACGACCTGCAGATGTACAGATGCTGTATGACTGACTGTAATGAAATGAAGACTAAATATCCGACACCTCCCCTACAGGATCTTTCTTATTCCTAGCCGTGCTTGGTATTGCCTATACTATTCGCTTGCCAAACGTAAATGGAATTCTTCTATCTGCCTGCCGTCTCTGGCCAAACTAATATTCAGCACACGATTTGATCCTAGATTTCACCACTCATGCCCCGGACTTCTTTTCAGTTCCTCAGGTCTTTGTCGTGAACCACCGGATACCATGTTGTGACATCAGACTGTGACGCCACATCCCCTTGAAGTTCGGCATCGGCATTGACAGACTCCTTGCCCTTATCGGCCTTGTCAAGTAGCTGAAATGTGACTGTGGCCCTCTTCATTCTAGCAATCGTGCTGGGGCTTTTCCGCTGTGGGTGCAAATACTCAAGCCCTTCCTCTGGCTTGGCCGCGAGATCAACGAGTGCACGCCTGTTGCGTAGTGTAGCGCGCTGGGTTCTCAAGCCAGGTGTTGGTGGCCGATCTTTAACTTTAGAAGGAGACTTGAGTATAGACTTTGGGCTGAGAGGGCTGAGAGGCGAGCTTCTCACAAGCGGAGACTCGAAAGGATCTGGGGATTTCTCGCTCAGGTCGCCCACTTTTCGCTTCTTATTGAACGCTGCCATCTTCTTGTCCTGCTCCTTCAGAGACTCCTCGAACGAGATCGACTTCAGGGGCAGACCGGTCCAGCCTGGGTGTGTGTCGATTTTGATCATCTTGGCGGTAGGCTCCGGGCTGTTGTGGTCGAACGCGGCTTGGAAGGCCGGAGAATCGATCGCTGGGGCGCTGAAATCGAAAAGCTCCTGAGAGGGAGCATCTTCGCCGGCTGCCTTCTTGGCTGCCCTCTCAGTATCTGCTTTTGTTCCCGATGCATCTTTATCCGCTAAAGTCTCCCTAGGCGACTCCCACTGTGCAGGAGGCATATTCTTCAGGGGTTTGGGCCGATGGGCTTGATGTTCCGTGGTGGGCTTCCCGACTCTACCCCGAGCGGCTATTCGCTTCGCGAAGATAGAGGCAATTCGTGACTCCCCCTCTGTTTGTGATCCCTCGCCGTCAATGGCTGCTTTGGCCGCCTCTTTAGCCGCCCGCAAGCCTTCTAAAACCTCTGCCGAAGAAACCGGGTGGTCGCGATTCTTGAGTTTCAAGGCCTCCTCGCGCAGAACATCAACTGATCTCGCAGCAGGGAACTTCAGAACCGGCTTTGCTGGAGAGAGTGGCTCCTGAGGGGCCTCGCCAATGATCGTAACACCAGCAAGATCCAGCTCCTCAGGCCAATCATCTTCCTCTTGCTCATTCCGCGCCTGCTCTAAACCCTGGCCACGAAAGGTCGGGGAGTAAGGTTTCTGCGCCAGGGTCGGATCGTGCGACGACTGCAGGTTCTCTTTCTTGAGAGGAAAAGTCTTCGCCCAATAGTCCACAAGCTCCTGTATTGCCACGGTAGCCTTGCTTGTATAGGGCTCCGAAACACGCGTGCTCGATTTACCTGCACCTCCTCTCAGCGACATGGTGGCTTTCTCCGCTACACTAGGAGAGTCTGGTGCATCCGAGACAGGGGCCCGAAAAGGGTTGGACGGGAGAGGCACCGTGGAAGAAGCAGCAGTGAGAGGTGACGGATTGCCTGAGCGAATCGCCCGCTCAGCCTCCTGAGTCCTCTCCAACTCCAGCATCCCATGCTTCCACTTGGCTTTGAGCCCGCCATCTCCTATGGGTTTCTCCGCCGAGATGGGCGAAAATACAGGAGAAACGTTTGGCTCGATACTTGACATCAAATCTCCTTCGCTGGCGGCAGCAGTCTGGTCATCTGCATTCGGATCACAAGTATCAATTGCTACATGCTCAACTTATCAGCACTATGAAAAAATATTTTGAGGCAACAAGATCACGCATATCACATACCGTCATCCGCAACACGAACGTCATCTCCATCTTCGGCGTCGACCATGTCCTCGTCAGCCTCAGGGGCAGCCGGAGACGCCGCACTCAACAAAGCCTTCTTGACCGGCGGCTCCTTGCCGCCGCGCTCGATGGCCTTCTGCATCTTGGCCTCCTCTCGGGTGCGCTTGCGCTGCTTAGACTGCCGCGCCTTCTTCTTGCCCCAGGGCTCGGCCGCGAGGTCGCGGACCTGCTTCTCGAGCGCCTCCATCTTGGCCTCGAGCTGCACAATCTTGTTCTCCAGCTTCGCATTCTCAATCTTCTCCTCGGCAAGCGCCGCCTGCAGGTCCTCAAAGGAGAGCGGTTCGGCCAGCGCCCGGCGGTCACTAGGCGCTGGGGAGGGAAGTTGGCCGGACATTGTCTCTATGGAATTGCGTCCGCCTCGGTACTGAACTCGGTCGTTGAATCAAGCGAAGGAGACGAGGAGAAGAATGGGAAAGAATGGTGTCAAATTTCTCGACGAGCTGTTCTTTTGTGTGACACAGTAGGGCAAACATTTTCGTCCGTTGAAAAGGACCGGCCAGCGAATATAAAGCAGTCAGAGCTGAAGACCTCGACGCTTCCGGTGAAGAGTGTTGCATGGTGGCTTTGTCCTGTGCGGACAAAGCCATACCCTAGCGTTCTGCTCATGGGAACGGGGACGTGATGACAGAGGCACGAACAACAAAGCATAGACACTCGCGAGTACATCGAAACCACAAAAGCGTGTGCAAAAGAATAATATCCATTGTGGTAATATAGCTTAGTTATGAGGTTGCTAAAGACTCGTGTACTTGAGAGGTAGAGAAGAGCCTTGGTCTTAGATCTTTGCTCGAGTGGCCGAGCGCATTCACTACAATGGAAATAAAATGAGGCACCAGTATACCGGGCTGGAAGCAGTGAAACTAAGTCAGGCATGCCATGAGGTTAGTTCAAGATGTCCGAAACACCTCCTGGTAAAGCATATGAGCCATAATGCCATGATCAGAAGGACAAAGGCATCATCAATCAGGTGCCCATCCCACTACGTTTTCGGTGTAACGTGGGGTGCTCGCAGCCCGTTGTGTTTCCCAGGCATAGCAATAAAAATACGAACAAAGAAACAAGAGACAACGCTTTGCGCCACCATTCCAGTGAGGGCGAGGCTGGCAGGGAGGCAGACAAGCTGGATGAATAACGCTGACATGTTCATTAGTTGAGTATCACAACTTCAAAAGGGTGTTACCTGTGTTTTCATTTTCTTCCTGTTTCTTTTCTTTTTGATATCTTAACTGCCTCAGCAGCTTTGAATGGGTGCAAAGAAGTTAACCTGTTTCATCGGGGCGGAAACAGCACTTTCAATGTTATTAAATCTGTGTGATGATTTGCGTTGCATATTATACAATTGACGATAAGGTCGCGAACGGGAACGGACAGCTGTAGTAGTAGTAGTTATGGCGCTATGGGAGCGATGGCGATTAATCAATTACATGTCGAATAATTCGTATCAAAGTTGCACCTTAGGACGTGTTGTCAATTTTTTATCGAGGCATTGTGTTGTCACGAAAGTTGTCTCCGTATCAAAATTGGCGAGCTACGGAACGGACTCCACCTCGAGACATGGACGTCGTTTTCATGCCGATCCGCAAGGCAAAGAAAAGAGTGATATTCGTACAGATGAAAAAGACGTTTTGTGAAGAATTGTGCTGCGAAGCTGATGTGATGATCCGTGTGCTGATCCAAGGGAGAAGATGTTCGAGCCCAGAACCGCGTCGACTAGAAAAGGAAGCAAACCTAACGTCTCTGACCAAAGACGCAGCGGTCGTATACCACCATTATGTCTAAAGTTGCCAAAGATCAAGGAAGCTACTTGTCGTCGAAGCGACCGGCCCTAGCTGTAGATACCAAGGCCCGAGAGGTGCCGAAATAAAACTCCAAGACGCATTTTCTTTTGAGTATCCGATTGTTCCCCTGCCCTGAAAGAACATAAGAAAGACGGTGGAATCCTACACTGACACTTGTCGAAAGAAACTAAGTGTCGAAAGTGGCTGTCGAATTGACGGTTCAGCGGCCACCTAAGGTCGTTAGCATCTATTCGCTTTCGTGAATTTATGCTCCTACGCACCGCCATAAGCCTCACGGGCCTCGCCTCGAGGAGCAGACTCGCCGTAGCCGCCGGCAGCAGCGGGACCAGCAGCGGGCTCGCGAGAACGGCCACCATCCCGATCACCGCCACGATCCTCATATCGACGCTCGTAACCGCCTCGGCGATCTTCGCCTCCCTCACCGCGACCTCCGCCGCCATAGCGTTGGCCACGGTCCTCGCGTCCACCTCCATAACGATCGCCACGGCTGCCGCTGTAGCCGCCATCGTCTCTGTCACGGCGCTCATATCCGCTGTTGCGATCGTCTCGGTAGCTTCGATCATAGCCGCCGGAAGAGCCACCAGCGCCGCGATCATCGCGATAGCCACGATCATAGCCGCCACGATCCTCATAGCGACGATCGTAGTTTCGGTAGCGGTAGCTATCGTCACGACCTCCGCCGTAACCGCCTCCATAGCCGCCTCGGCGTCGATCATCGCCATAGCGATCACCTCCGAACCGGCCGCCACCACGACCGCCACCACCACCCTCTGGAAGAATAGTTAGTTTGATTCTTGTGGGGAAGGACGATATATGAAGCTTGACTTACCTCGCTTGGGTGGGCCGAAGTACTTGCCGGGGGTGGGAGTGCGAGGACGAGCACGACGAGCCTTCTCAATGCTCAGAGTACGGCCCTCGATCTGCTCACCTTGGAGGCCCTCCTTGGCGGCGTCGGCCTGGTCAGATGTGACCATCTTGACGAAGCCGAAGCCACGAGACTCCTTGGTGTGGGGGTCACGCATGATCTGGCACTTCTCGACCTCGCCGTACTTCTCAAAGAGGCGCGTAACCTCTTGCTCGGTCAGACGGGGATGAATGCCGGTGACGAACAGGTTAGATCCGGGGTTGATGGCACCATCATCATCACCGCCCTTGCTGCCGCCATCGTCCTTGGGTCCGCTGTAGTCGCTATCAGGTTGTTAGACGATGATCGAGATGAAGCAAAGATGAGTTGAGACGTACCGGTCGCCGTTGCCAGCGGGTGACGCCGAGCGGCGACGAGCACTATCGTGGCCGTTGTCACCGCGGGGCGAGGCAGAGCGATTGTCACGCTCGTAGCGGGGCGCCTCCTCTGTGTGTGTGTGTTAGCGACGATTGATGTGATGAAGAAGTGACAAAAGAGCTGCCGGAAAAATAGGGTGGCGGATTTCTCTCTGTCAAATTGGTGTCAAATACTGACCATCGAATCGGTCGCCATTGGCGTTCTCATAGTCCATAGCTGTGGTCGCCATCTTGATGATTCGAGGATGGATAGCACAATTGATGGAGCTGGTTGTTTGGGTGTTGAGGTTGTGAGGTCAACGGTTTTTGAGCAAGGCTCTCGAGGGATGACCGGGTTGACGCGGAGACGTCGCGCGAGTCAGAAAGAGGACCAGGGATGGGAGAAAAATTGAGATGGTCCGAAAGAAGTGCAAAAAACAAGTCGCAGCCTCAATCCTCAATTTGCTGGGGGAAGAAAAGGAAAAGGAAGATGGAGATTCGTGGAGGTGGAAGATGGGAGAAAGTATGCTACCAACAGGTCAAGGCTTGGGGGAGGAAGAGGAGGAGAGGTCCTTTAGCAAAATAGGACGGACTGTCTGTGATGATGCCAGCAGTTGCCTTCTTTTTTCCAAGTGAAAGGCAGCGCATCCCTTAGCGGACGAGCTAGCGCGTAAGCGATCGGGCTAAGCCCAATACGGCCCTCCCCAGTTCCCCCAAGCCTTACACTCGGAAGCCTCACATTCGGCAGAGCTCCCTGACACTGCCTGCGAATCAAGTGCCGGCCACGTCAGATTTCATGTCCCATGGTCCCTGCTTTATCTTCACCGGCTCAAGCGAGGCTTTCATCCTGCTCTACTATGTACGGTGGTAATATACACCGCAAGATCTGTAGGCCAAAGAGGCACCCGTTTCAAAAAGCATACTACTGGGAGCATGGCGTGGTCTACCTCTGGACTACTGCCAACTCGGGGTGCTCGGTGGCGTCACATCGACAGCCTATCAGTGGCCGATCAAGCAAGCCTACTCTCAGCTCCGCTTCGTACCGACTCAATCAGATGGCGAGCCGTCAGCCTTCTTACATGCTTAAGAGGCCGCCAAATTATCAATTCCGTGTTGTGATATCGCTCGATGCAAGACCGTGAACTATTGAAAAGCCTCAGATCATTGATCGTACAACTCGGTGGTACATGCATTGACTGTATCCAGGAACATATGACTGCTATTCAAACAAGTTGTCCGCCCGACTCATAGTTCTCCTAACTCAACTTCCTGGTCGATAGCAAGGACTGCCTCAATATCAATGGCTGCTGGCTCCTTCTCATCAAGGAAGCTGAGACCCGCGACAGCTTTGCCTCCACATGCTCGCTCAAGTGCCAGAAACGCAAAATGTCCTCCAACCACTGGCCGCGCCTTGAATTGGAGGCCGGGGTATCCACCATCACCCTCGGTATTGTACAGGTCGGTAAACGGCTTGTCTAGAGCATACTATCAGTATTTGACATCCTCGTGGGAGAGTCGGATTACTTACCAGTCGTCGTCTCGTTCACCCACTTCGCAACAGCCGTGAGCAGCTCCTGGCGGGTGGTTTTGCCTGTCACCGCTGCAGCGAAGAATTCCCAGTCGCTCTTCGTATACAGATGGCGGCTGTCGAGCGGTAAGCCATACTGTTGCATCACTGCATGGTACCAGTCACTCTGCATCTGATAGATTTCGTCTGGAACAAAGTGAGACTTAGCACCGCCAGAGAGTTCATTGTCATCTGAGATCGGTCGCTGTCCCGGCCGCCACTTTGCAGAGCTGCGCAGGGCCGGCTTCGAGTCCTCCGGGAGATGGAAGCATAGCAGAGAATCCGCGTATAGGTTGTACAAGGTCGTCCACGAGCCATACCAGTCGTAGGCCAGCTTGGCGTGAGTCTTGTCTCTGGAAAGGCCATACTCTTGCCACTTGGTAATATATGTGTCTGAGATGTTGCGATAGTACGTGGCATCATCCTTCCGATGTAGCAGCTCAGCGATTTCGCTCATGGCCTTGATACCAATAATACCCTTCAGTGCCAGATTAGTCTGGTAAGCAAGCCAGCCGGCAAAGTCGTCTGTTGACAGCTGATTGCGAGGGATGAGCGATTCTCGCACAAGGTAGCCAGTCCATTTCGTCCAGAGGCTGTATGACTTGGCTACCCACTTTGTAGCCTCTTTCTCTCCAGTGACACCAATCTCCTCGCTACTTCCCCATCCGCGGTCCATGCCGAACTCGTCGACTAACCCCGAGGCAGACATGCTCAGTTCTTGAGCTAGGCCATCTGCTTTATCATTGACAAAGGCGGGCTGCGTGTCGTATTTGAAGGCATTGACAAGAGCCAGTCCCATGATAAGCATGTTACCGCACTCTTCAAGCGGCATGTACTCGTCCCTACCATCAGCGTGTCCCGTTGCGTTGGGAAAGTGTAGCCCAAGATCGTGCATGCTGTAATCATTGGGATACTGCCCACTAAGCTGATGCTCCAGAAGCGGTTCCAGTAAATATGCCAGCCATCGAGGGTTCGTGTAAAGGAAGAAAGGGAAAGCCGGGAAGATCACGTCGACGGTTTGGAAATTTCCATTTGACGAGATCTCCTTGAGAAACAGAATTGGGTTGTCCGGTGTGCCAGAGAATTGAGTAGCTCCCAATACCTGTCGGGCAGATAGTGCTGCAATTTCTTGATACTCCGATGACCCTGAGGCATATGCATCAACTGCAAGTTGATCTGAGTAGTTTTGTGCTAGCGAGCTGGCGGCCTTGAAGTCATCGTAGTGGTATTTGATCATCTGCTCCGGATCGGGAAAGTAGGTCGACCAAAAAGGCTTCATCAGAGTCAAGCCCCTCGCAGAAGCAAATTGTACTACAGGATCCTGAACAAGGCCAAATGTGAACATCACACTGTCGGCAGACTTTGTTGTCGTGTTCCCGGAGCCGAACTTGAACGATTTTGAGAACGCAAAAACGGGCTCCTCCTGGAAGATCCCCCTGAAGTGTGAGTCGACTTCATTCTTCAGATGACCTTTCGCCGCGAAGTGTTGGCGCACAACCGTTACAGTACCAGACTGGTAGCGGACATCTTCGGGGCCAGAGAAGTAGAGACTGCCCCATTCGGCGCGATCCCGAGACTCGGTGAGGAGTTGCTGGGTTTCCCGGGATATCTTCCATGTCTTGATTTTTGCATCTGATTTCACGTTCGACTTCAAGTCTTGGAGCTCCCACACGATTTGGCTTTCTCTTTTCCCACTGATCCACTCGCCGTTGATGTCAACATACACATCCACGTCAAAAGAACCCTCTACGAAGATTGTGAGGTAAGCCGCCGGAAGTGACTGCCGCAGAGTCGAGGACGGTGTAAGTGGAGAAAGGAAGGACAGAGTCAGCTTTGCCGGACTCTCGTCGAGCGAGCTCGGGGCGGCGAGGAGGTATGTCAGGTTCGTAGTAGAAGCATCGAAGGTAGCTCCCAGATATTCTGGGTAGGTGATGTTCAGGTCGTAGTGGCTGCCTCGAAGGAAATCCTGAACACGCCCTAGGAGAGGGTATACCTTGCCCGAATCGGGCACTGAGGCCATGACGGCAAAGCCGACCTGCGAGGTATTAGCACCGCCAACTAGGAGAACGCTGCGCAAAGTATGGCACCCTTCAATCGATGTCACGGAACCGCACAGGTTCTTGCATCTGTCGTGCTGGTCGTCTATGATATGCGCATTGCACAGGTATACTTACAGTGTCGCCTGTCCAGAAAATCGGCCATCTCTCCCAAGGCGAGGCTCGAGATTGCATCCAGGTGCTAAGATACGGGTTGCGCACAATCAATGGCACTACTCCTGGTGTCAAAGTCGAGGCGCTCGCCAGAGCGGCCTGCACCAGAAGACTAAACCTCATCTTGTTCCAAGCGAGAGGTACTTCTCAACGACACATAGAATTGCCAGGTATAGGTAGTTGTCCGGGTGGGTAGAATGCAAAGTAGCGAGCCTGCTGTCTAGTATAATGCGATATGGTATGCCTACAAATGGCCATGCACGAAGGTATCAAATGAAACTGGAAGTTGACCACGGGATGCCGACACTACACGAAGGATAACAACGACTCTGGACTGATGAACCAGCAACGACAGCAAAGAGCGCAAAGACAGAAGTCGTCAAGCAATTGGCAACGAGGAGTAAGATCCTGAGGAGCTGGTGGAGCAGGGGATCCAGTGAAGAGCGAATTGAAACAAGGAAACAGGAGCTCCAACAGCTCGCCAGTGGGCTGACACAGGAGGTATGACGACTGACGGCGATCCAAAGAAGCGTCGTAGCTGACCAGCTCCAGCTGCTTGGGCGCCTCGGCAGCAACGCGGGGTGCCCTATGATGTGGTCATGCGCCCCATTCAGGCACACCTCACGAACCCCTCCATTGCGCTGGTCCCCCGCAGTTTCAAGGGTCTTGGCACCAAAACGCTCCCAGGCGCCCGGTGTGCCGCCTGACAACACTTTGGAGAAAGACGCTTCACAGACCCCCAGGTATGCTTTAGCAGTCTCAGGAAGCCTTGTTGTTGGAATTGACTACTCCAGAACTGCGCTTGGCATGGACTTTGGTTGTTGAGCAGACTACAGTTGGCACACTGAAGAGACCGTCTTGGCTAGGTAGGTATAACGAGGACGCACCTACAAGCATACTGTCTGTTGCATTTGCAAAAGCCACAGGTGCCTCCGTGACAGGAGAAGTCAAAAACCCCATAAGCTTTGACAGGACGGTGACAGTCGAAGCTGTATTGAGACTGGAAGACCAAAGTGAGAAAATCAAATCAAGTCTCGTATATATTGCTCATCGGGCTAGGTGTCGTTTGGACACAAGTGAATCAGCTGATCTCGATAATTGCCTATTAGGACCTGATTGTCGGTGGCAGAACAACCGACTGTCTCCCGCGTACCACGACATAACTAACATACAAAGGTTTTCCACCTCTAGGAGCGCATCAGTTCTACTGTGCCCCCCGAGATAAACTCGACAAGGGGGCAACCTCTCGTGCTTTCAACTCCCCGAACTGAAGAGCATGCTGTCTACAAGGTCGTCCCGACGGTGATTTAGAGCTAGCATTGCACGTAAAAGTGACAGTGGGGACTGGATCAGGTTCCATGCTGCAAGAAATGCTATCTATCTACAGCATTTTGACCTCGTGGTCACCAAAGATCCGCACCCGAACCGACGGGAGATTTGGCCGGAGAATTTCTCCCCGCGCAGAGTGATCCGATCAGTTAGGTGACTGACAGCGCCGGACTTTCTTGGTGGAAATAAGGTGACCCGCCGCGCCCGCCACCCATACCCATCCGACATGCACGTTAGCGCCCCCAGCGAGTGCCGTTGACGGATCGAACATATCCAAGTGTCCCCTCCTCTCAGTGGGCAAAGTGTCGGGCGTGGAACTGCAGATCGCGGCAGAGGTACTTCTCGCCGTCGTCTCCCCGGCCGTGGCCCAGCTATGATCCCTACCTTAGCTCACGTCCGGCTAGCTGCACCTGGGCAAGGGCGTACCTCTGTTGTGTGATGGTTCCAAAAGGCGAAGAAAAGTCCATGTGTTGTTCGGGCCTTTGTAAATTATAGCGAGTTCACTTACGATAGACTTAAAACTGCGAGGTCCGCCGGTTCTGGATATGGCCACTCGGCCCCTCCTTGCATTACTGTAGAACACTGCTGATGTTGTAATCTGCTGGCCCCTCTTGTCATACGTTGCTTTTCGAAACCTTGACTCTTCCACAAGCCGTCACAATTCAGCTCCGCGATAACTTCACCTTGGGGACTTCGGCCCCTGCCCAACAGGCAACTCCCGAAAGACGAAGCACAATGACCATGGAGGGCAAGGTCTTCGCCATCACCGGGGGCGCGAGCGGCATCGGTCTCGCGACGGCTAAGACCATCTCGAGCCGGGGTGCCACGGTATGCATTGCAGATGTCGACCCAAAGGCTATGCAGGAGGCAGAGGACTACTTTAAAGAGAAGAATGTGCCGTTCACGGTCAGCAGAGTGGACGTCTCTCAGAGACAGGAAGTGGATTCATGGATCGATGGCATTGTGGAGAAATATGGTAGGCTCGACGGGGCGGCAAACGTAGCTGGAATCATTGGAAAGGCTCATGGCACGGCTGGAGTGGCTGACCTCGATGACGCCGAGTGGCACCGGATCATTGCGATAAACCTCACCGGGATGATGTACTGCTTACGAGCGGAGCTCAGAAAGGTTGTTGATGGCGGATCAATTGTCAATATATCCTCCATTCATGGTCTGAAAGGTATTCGTCCCATCGAACCCAACATGAGGGCTTTCGCTAATGATCCCAGGGTTTGCGAATCATGCCGCCTATGATGTGAGCAAACACGGTGTCATTGGGTTGACTAGATCTGCCGCACAAGAAGTAGGTGCCAGGGAGATCCGAGTTAATGTTGTTGCTCCAGGAGCAATCTATACGCCATTGATGCAGAAGAATTGGGACCTTGTTGGACGAGCTGCCGATGCTCCTTTTGATGACCCAAGTGCGTTCCGAAGACAAGGTACTGCTGAAGAGACTGGCAATGTTATTGCCTTCCTTCTTGGCCCCGACAGTACATTCGTGAGCGGTAGTGTCTACCGCGTGGACGGAGCATGGACGTAATACGACCTTTCGACAATCATCAACCGATCCTCTCATAATGACCAAATCGACGAGGCAAGGTGAAGTGCCACGAGGACCAGAAGTAGTGGCGATGCGGCTCTTGAGTCGATTCGATATATTACGGTCGCAGCCGGAGCAGGACGACCTTGAATTTGCGCATTGTGCGTGGTGCCTTCACCACACATCTTCGGGATTCACCTCGTGCTTCATACCGTCCTCTCTGATATGCTCCTTTTTCACATCCCTTTTCATAGGTTTTCTCATGTCATAAGCATCTTCACCAGACGCATTTGGGTCGCTAGAGTGGTCACCGTAATAGTCTTTGACGACTCGATAGACGCTGTAGCCCATACTTTTATAGAAAGAAATGGCCTTGTGATTTGTCTCCCTGACGAATAGGTCAACGAACCATGCATTGTTAGCGTCGGCAGCGGCCTCGAGATGCTGAGTTAGCAGTTTTCCAATACCCAGGCGACGAGCCTCGGGCGCGACAGTCACGGCGGTAATATGAGCATGCCAGGGCAAATAATGCTCAGAGAACTGATAGACGTCTGGCGAGGACTCCAACTTGCCCATAACTTTCATAGTTCGTTAACGAGATTAAGCAACCAACAAGGTCTCAGACTCGAACTCACTGTAGCCTATAATATTTCCATCTTGATCCTCAGCAACCTGGAACAGTGAAGGCCATTTTGCGTAGTACTGTAGGTAGAACCCAAGCTCGTAGGTCTCCGTGTACGGATCAAGATTGCATTTGGAGAGCTTGTTGAGATCGTCCGGCCTAAATCGCCGGAAATTGGCCATTTTGCTGTGTCTAGGTTCGAAACCACAGATCTCACGCAAGTCGGCAATGTGCAAGTATAAGCTTTCGCTGAAAAGCCGAATGCTTTCTCCAATTGTCTATGGAGAGCCTCTGACTTTCAGAAGCGAAGGCGTCTCTAAAGCCTTGCCGCCAGTTGGAATTCGGCAGTTATGGTCTCGAAAAAGGAAAGCAAATGTGAGAATATGGTGAAGAAAATGCAGGAGCGATCTGATGTCTGTGCAGATTAGAGGTTTGGCAGCACTACTGTTTCAGTAACAAACCCTCCTTAGTGTCAAGCATTAAACTGTTAGCTTCCATGTACAGTACCGGATGGACCCAGTCGGGAGTCGCAGTTAGGTTAGGCGTCAGACGCGTCCTACCTTACATTACCGACCTTAATTAAGACGTGCATGGATGCCACGCAGAAGGGGAATGGAACAACGAACGAACACCAGATCACCTCACTACATTCATCACTTTCAAAAACTACCCAGCTGCTCAGTAATTCTTGAAAACGCACAAGCGAAGATACGATCAAAGATTGCGCGCCACGCAAATCACAACGGGTAGCCGGCTGCTCACGAGAGACAGGGGGCGCAGCGCATCGTTGTTCGACTTGATCAATAATTTCCTTTGTGATATAGCTCTGTTACCACGGTCCCTCCTTGATCCATAACGAATCCCTGCGTCCTGTATCCACGCCGGCAACGACACGTCCTGGGGAAACAAAAGAATTCCCAGACTATCGCCCCATCACAAACAAAGCCATTATTCGACTCGGATAGAGCGACTGTTGACAACCCATACAAAAGTCGCCCCCTGAGCGCAAGCAGCGAGCACTTGAGATCCGGTCAGAGCCGACTCTCACTCTGGTCGCAATGTCCTACGCTACAGAAACACCGCGGCACTCCCGCAACACCTCCGCCGTCGAATTTCAGTCCACAAGCATCGGCTCGTCGCCTCAAGACCGACGGAATTCGAGATCATCATTCCAAGAGCCTTCTACTCCCATGCGCGACAGCTTCAACAATCCCGAGGGGGTGGACATCGGTATCTTCAGCAGCGGTGGTATGGGTATGGGCGGAGGCAACGGGCTAGGGAATCTCGCAGATGAGCTTGCAGACGCCTTTGGATCAGGAGACGAAGAGGAGGAGTACTATGAAGAGGGGCCACCAAATATCAATGTTGATCACCTCGAGGAGGAGCAACCTGAGCGTGCAGAGGGTCAGCGAGATAGCGGCGTGGATGTGGCGAGTCCCAAGGGGCACCATGATCGAGCAAAGAATATGAGCCTGAGCCTGCCGACTCCAAATGGGCGCGGTCACCGCCGGGCGGGAAGCGAGTATGATGGGAGCGAGTACGGGTCAGAGTCGGACCTAGATTCACCTGGCATGCCGCCGAGTCTCGTTGCCAAGATTGACGCCGTCGAGTCCCTTGCGCGGAGGGGAACGGAGAGCAACGGTGGCCCTACCGATGGCGTCTTCAAGCGTCTTACCGATGGCCTGAGAGATCTAGGATCACAATCTGGTGTCGAGGGAAACGCCACCAGGTAAGTCATGATCATATTATTGTCGCATTTTGAGCTTTGCTAACATGACATTAGGTTAATCACCGCCCACTCGGCCCTCACAACACACCTGACACATCAGACTCGCCAGCTTCACAACCTTACATTTCCCCTCCTGTCGCCACTGGTCGCACCTCCGGATCCTGAGACAATAGAGCTGCTCCTCCCTGAGCTCGTCTCACTATCAGACCAGATGCCTCGGCCCTCAACATCTGCCTACAACTCGCTAACTGCGTTACACACCCTGACCTCGGACCTCGTACAGACTCTAAACTATCTATCTGATACACTCCACATGTCTCGGCAGACGACCACCACCGCTACTAGACGGCTCAAGAGCGCCAAAGAGCTAGTTGCCGAAATACGGCGGGACGAAGAACTTGCGGAAGAAGGCGAGAGATGGCTCACGAGGGGCAACTGGAGTGAGCGGTTGCGGAAACGCGAATGCGCAAGCGTCTGCGGCGAGGTTGTAGGCGGCTTTGAGGAGGTCTGCAACAGCTGGCGAGCAAGGTTGCTTGCACAGGCAGAGTCTGCTCAAGCATGAGCTTGCTCATAATCTTTCCTTATAGAAGCGAGCAGGAAGAATGTGGATCTTGTGGATTTCGTCTAATAGCTATAGCGGACGAATCATTCAGGGGCCCATGATCTGCCCCTTTTCCTTTGTTCTTGGCATATACAGGACAGGCTTTCCTCAGGCACGGAACAGCGGCGTTTTGGGAGAGATCACTATACTCGAGCGATGTAAAGAGCCTGAATAACAGGTTAGAAACTGCACAGATACCTTGGTAGATGAATATGATGCGTGATGAGAAGAATTAGTTAGATTGGCCGTCAATCATTCCATGAGACAAAATGTGCAAGAAGTCGACCTAAAACAAAATACCTAGCCCTTATCCCATCCATAATTCATGCCTCAACTCTCGCCTATCCTTAAAGTGTAAGGCGAACTAGGCCGACTATCATAGTATCTCGGAACACCATTCAGGCTTCCAGCATCATCCGGAAGGGGAGTTTCGGCCCTCCGCCTGTGATCATGGTACAAGTCCTCATGCTGATGCCTAGACCCCTCGTCAATCGCCGGCTTCCTGACGTGCTTCGCGGCGGGGCTCTTCCTCAATCTCCCCTCCACAGGCGGCGCATCTCGCGGCCTCCTGCCAGTGTGCGGCGACTCTGTCTCCTCGTCGTCTACGATGACCACCATCCAAACGCCAATGGCACCATTGCTACCCATCAGCGGCGTGCAGTGAATCCAGCGCGGACGACCCTCGCCTGTGGTGCGAGATACCCAACGCACTTTAGCCGTGACCCCTTGACCTTCCGCGAGAGCCTGCGCCAACTCATCGTGGATACGGGTAGACCCGCCGATCTTGGACAACAAGTGTGACTGCAGGATTCCTGGTACGCGTAGAGAAGGCGAAGCAAACAGGATACGTAGGTTAGGATGGGGCCGCACGAGGAGGTAGTGTTCGTAGATGCCAGTGAGGCGGCCGGACGTCACAGAATTCAGGGGCAGACTGCGCACTGACGGAGCAACATCGTCCTCTGTGACCGAAGCCTCATCTTGGAGGAGAACACGCGGCTTGTGCCAGTTGGCATTGGCGTCGGCGTGCTGCACCTCTTCCTGCTGGGAGCGGTGCAGACTGCCGCCGTGCTTCCTGACTGTTTCCAGTTCTTGAAGGTTGAACATCTCGGCAAGTTCGCCAAACTCGTCCTTTGCGCCTTCTTCCGCCCCGTTTACCCCGTTCTGCTCCCCGTTCTTGATGCCGTCACTTGGACCCGTTTCGCCGTTAGACTTCACATGAGGCTCCTCGTCTTTCTCAACGAGGCGCTTAAGTGACTCGAGACCCGAGCAGTCCTTTGCGAGCCCGGAGACGTCGACTTGTGCTCCGAGGAAGTAGCGCACATTGCCGCGGGAATCCATCAACGGTGTGCACATCAGCAGGTTCATGAACGGAGACCCGTCTCTACGGTAGTTGAGGAATGTTTCGTAGTGTTCCTTGCCCTCTAGAAGCCTGTCGCGAATTCTTTTAACACTGAAGGGATTTGTCTTGGGGCCTTGCAGAAAGCGACAGTTGCGCCCAATAACATAGTTCATCCCATACTGCGTTGTCCTGTGGAATTCTACGAGCCCAGTCAGTTAGTTGAGGCTCCCAAGTTGCGTTGACATGAAGCTCACCTTCTGAAGCAAACACAATAGGATTGTCGTGCCGAGAAGGATCTGTGAGGCAGAAGACCTCCGCCAGACCTTCGGACATATCTCGAAGATGCGCTGGCATGGAGCCCGTGATACGTCTTTTCATCGAGACGCTCACGGTCTGTATCCATGTGTGCGTGACGTAAGCAGAGAGATCATCGCGGGCAATGGCTTCAAAGGCTGCATCTGCTTTGTCCCTTAAACACTTGTTCAAAGTCGCATCTGCTCCGGTGGAGCTGAACTCGTGTCCCTCAAGTGGCTCCAAGGCCTCGACAATAGCATTTGAGTAGCTAATCGCCTTGAGGGCTTTAGTTGCGTCTAGATAGTAGACCAGCAAGGGGATAGACTTCGGCCGCGATGTGCAAAGGAAGTTGGTGAACCGTTGAAGTAAAACCGCATCTCCAAAGATGACTTGTAGATGCTCTTTCGAAAATAGCTGCTCTGAGCGAGCTTCCAATGAGTATATCCCTGTATCCCCGTGTGATGGAATGACGAGGTCGAAACTTCCTGGCTCAATCTCTTCCTCTACTAGTGGCTCCAACAAGTCATCGTTTCCGGCCCCTTTAGTCTGTAGAGCCGGCAGGACAGAAGATGCCTGTGTCTGATATGTTGACGCGGCAGAGTTGGCTCGCGACCTTCCAGAACGGGAGCTTCGGGCCTGTGTCGATGGTGAACGAACACTGAACCGACTGCTGTCATCAGGCTCTGGGGACATTGGCCGTCTCGCAGACTCCGGTGTTAGTAGCTGTCGCGAAGGTTCTGGCGACGCCATTCGCTTTGCTGGCTGTGTAAAGATCTCGGGTACTGATGTAGTGCTGAGTACAAACATGAGTTTTCAATTCGTTATAATACATGCATTCCATTCTCATACCTCTTCTCCGTCGCCACCTGCAATGTGTTCGGGTTGATTGGGCCCCGGTGAGCAGCTATAAAGTCCCTGTCGGTAAGAATCTTCTCCAACGTAGCAGCTACGCCAGCTGCGTACCCCGAATTCATTGGAGAGAGCCGAGAGGACTTTCGAAGGGGAATATCTGGAATTTCCGCGCCATTTTCCACAACTGGCTCGTCGTTGAAGTTTTCTCGTGTAGACCTAAAGCCTAGTGAGCTATGACGGCCTGACGAGCCTGCCTCCAAAGCTTCAGCTTCTCTGAGCCCCATGGCTGTTGGACTATGGAGGATTCGGCCGGTGCTGAGGTGTGAATCATCCTTGGGATAGACTCGAACACTAGACATATTGGATTTGAGATGGAGTTCGCTAGGACAAACAGTCTATTGTGGTTGAAACCTTAGAGCGTCTCGCGAAGGAGAAAGAAGAGGAACCATTCACACTTGTGGATATAGTAATGATATTTATCAGATGAAGTGTCACACGGCAGAGTGACACAAAGATTGCACGTTTTTGGCACGTTCACAGTAAATGCTGATGAGACGTCACTAACCCCTTTTACCATATGGCTCATTCGCAATAGATTGCAAATATATCCTAGAGTGAACACAAACCACGGTACCTCTGATAAGCAAAGACCATCTTGACGGCGCTATGGGGACGAGGGCGATGGCAAAGTGGTTCATTCTCCGTAGACTTGTTTGAAAGAGGTAAAGTAGGCAATCGTCGAGGTGAGACTCAAGACTGGCAGGAGCATAGTTGCTTGGAATTGGATAACATCGCGCATCCTATCTAGGAAAGGATTTGAAGATGTAGTCGTCCGGCTTCAAGACTTGCCGTGCTTAGCCTGGAGTCGATGTCCCAAATATGGTCTCGTAGCAAGATTTAGATGGTAGTCTATGCCCTGTCAAGATTATGACAAGGACGAGGGCAGTTGAGGAAAGATTTGCCGGCGACTCGGGGAGTACAAAGATGTGTCCACCCTGATCTCGAACTCCACGTTTCGATCTTCGGGATTCTGTCAAAGATGCATTGATCGGTGGTCAGACCTCTCGGCACCTAGCGGGAGATTGTTCCAACAAGATCAGCTCCTAAGCTTGCCATCCTTTTGAAGACTATCACTTTAACATTGAAGAAGCCGCGCCGTTAGTCAGTGGACCCAATTGCCGTTTCTGGCGTTTCGCCCTGATCGACGAGGGCTAGCTGGGTGCTAGTCGCCGGCAAGTCCATTCTTCAGCGGGAAACCCTAGTTCTGTCGTCATGCTCCAAGGCTCGATGATCATTCTTGGCTCGATGCGGAAAGCCGATGCAACACCCAAGTGCTCATTTGGGGACGATGGGTCAACGTCGTACTACGCCGTAGCCATCGAAATTGTCCATCGAGTACGAAGTTCACAACTATAGCAGCTCCCCTTGCGCACTTCCAACATCTCTGCTCATGTGAACGTCGAGAGTGAACATCGGCCATTTTAATCGAGTGTATAGGCCGAAAGAATTGTCGATGTTCAATGCCAATGCACGATATTGATTTACAATTCTCAGTCGCCGCCATGGTTGCCCCTTTCCCAGCTTTAAATCGACGCGATTTGCTATCGACGACATGCTCCTACCTCCAATTGAGGTGACGGCCATTGGTATACTCACGCACAGCGGGACCAGTAGATTGGTTTGTCAAGAAGTCTATTTACTCCGCGATACCAATTCCGCGATAGTAATTGGAACAGGAGAAAACGACAGGACACTGGCTCCTACCACCGTAGTCTCTTTCTAAAATCATCTCCAGAAAAAGACCCAGTATGATGGCGACGTCGAAACCAAGATGATTCATCTATCGACAGATGAGTTTTGAGGATGTTGACATGTGACTTGGAGGAGAAGTCAAGTCGCCCCTCTGCTGAACCTGCAGCCTTGGGCATCGTTCAGCCTGATTTATTCTTGCCTTTCCCGTCAAACGCCATCAGCTCAACGAGAATGATTCCATGTCAAAATTAAGACGCAATCATGACAACGAGCGAGGAAACTCAGAATACGAGTGCTGTGGGAAAGGTCAACAGTGACATTCAGGCTACCATATCAAGCGCAAATAGTCTTTTGGGCCTGTACAAGGAGATTGAGGGCGAGGTGGCAGGCTACCACGACTGGAAGCAGCGAGTCAACAACCTAGTTGCCGACTTGGGTGAATGGGCCCCGATGGCTTTTCGAAACAACAGATGGTGGCTACCGGTGCTGCGTACCAACCAGTTTGAGTCACATCTTGCTGCTAATGAAGGTGTCTTGACTCCCCATGCAGCCGACTGCGACGCATCTATAGGCTGGGCAAGTTACTTTACGCTCTAGGCCTTCACCCTCACTCTGATATTATAAACTGGAAGTCGACACAAGAGGAGTTTGACCCGACATCTCCAGGTGCAATCCGCCTGCAGGTCGATGGGCCAGTCCTGTGTCATATTATAAATCTTTATAAGATATACAGTTGGCGGTCCAACTATCTGCGTGTATATTTTGAAGCACTGCCGCTACAATTTACCCTATCATTTGGAAGGCTAGATATCACTGATCGCGGAGGCTCAATCGTGGTAGTGTTCGGAGACGGATCGCAGGATGAGCTGAGACAGGTCAAGGTCCCCTTTCAGTACGAAATACCTGCGCACTGTGAGTGGCGGCGGAAGATCGCTGAGCAATTGTCCTTTACACTATATCAACTCGCTCTTCAGTACGGCATCTCCAATACGAGGGCGACCCTTGGAGGTTGATGGCGACCACAATAAGAAATCTCGAAAGGAGCGGGCCCAAAGACTTATTGAAAGCATGAACCTCGTCCTGGAATCGACTGAAGAGCTGTTCCTGACCACAGAGCAGTGGCTACGTAGTGCAACTCGGATCTACCGTAGGGTCACCGTTGATCCGGACACTGCAGCGCCAGCCGGCGACCAAGCCGATAAGAGGCTTGCTGAATTCATTGCAAAAAGTGTGTCTTCCTCATCTACTTTGGCCGGGGTAGCGAAGTTATACCCACATGGATATGCTGCGTGTTTTGTCGCAAATGTACAAAAAACCGCAGAACACCTGTGCATGGTGTCGGACAACTCGCAATTTGATTTCATATGGTCTTCGTTGGGGACTTCTCTGACCCACCTCGAATTGGAAACAGACACGCTCATAACGATGCTGGCCTCGGCACCGCTTGCTCTGAAAGGCGCATGGGATGGACAATGGAATGACGATTTGGCTGAAATGGTTGAAGACAGGACGCTCCCGAAGCTGTTCCAATTGCCCAATGCTTTGATCGACGATTCTGTTATGTTGATGAACCTAACTGAACATTATGAGCTTTGGAGCGCAAAGGACTGCTATGTCGCGTAGTGAGAAGCAGGACTCCTGAACACTAGAGAACTGATAGCATCATTTAGTGCGTCTATTACTTCGAAGCTGTTCATGTTAGGGATTTGTGCAGCGCTATGTGCAATGTCTAGGAATTCTGGGAAGAGCGTTGAGAATCTATCGAGGATTGATCTGTTGATAGACATGGCTCAGTAATGATATCGGATACGATTTGAAATCTTGGACGCAGTCTATATAGTGCATATTTATATCTGACTTTGGTTGGCTTATAGGCGTCCGTCTGCGATGCGTATCCTAGGACGTTTCTGTTTGGCAAGCAAGCATCTGAAGATTACTGTAAATAGGATGCCTCTCGATAATAAACTTCCATCATATGATACAGATCTACACGTGTATGTGGCATTGACTACTTAGAAATTACCCCACTATCGTACTTTCATACTCCTTAGCCCAAAGTAGGCGATGACTGAGAATTTATACATGTTTACTGCGTGTAAGTGCAAAACTACGGGGTGGGCAGTGATGCATTGTTTTTGCGCAAGGGGTTTAATTGGTGACGCGAAATCGATGCGTCGCCTGCCGGTGGAAGAAGCGTGGCTGTCGCGCCACAGAAACCGTTGGACCTATGACAAGTCGCCCATCGGAAGGCCGCGGGGCTGATACAGACCTCTTGGAAGCCTGGATCTGGGCGTCTGTTGTTGACAAGTCAGAAAACGGACCACTAGGACGCGCTGCCGACGACTCCAAGCCAAGGGGGCCGGTCGCAGCGCCCGGCCGCTGAAGGGTCGCGCAAAGTCGACCTCTCATGGTGTCTCAAAAACAAACAAACCCCCCTCTCTCCTTCGCTCTGCTGCAGTTTACTATGCCCAGGTGTAGAGGACGAACCCACACCGCGAGCAGACTAATAGAAAGGGGTCAAAACACACACTCTCTCTAATCTCCAGTCACCAGTGCCGCGACCGCCCTGGCCTCGCAAGCGCGATAATCGTCGAGAGTCTGCTACCAAATCAGCCCTCGCGAAGGTTTGTTATGATGCTGCGGTCCGCTGGGTGTTGTTTTGACTCCGCTCTGGACACACTGGACACATTTCACTGCTGCATTCAATTGCTGCCCTGCCTTTGCAGAGCGCGACTTGGGCCGACCTTTTCGAATGATGAGTACAGGTGGCGTCAATTGGATCTCGGGTCCCGTACGCCATCTGCCACGCAAGAAGAGCCCCAGTGTTTAGGCCGGAAACGTCTGTCAAGGGAGCGAAGGGATACGCTGTGAAGAGACCCAGAGAGGAGACTGCACAGTTCATAGGAGAGAAAACCAGCCTCCCACAATAAACATAATGTGCTAAGTGGCGGGTTCAATATACAATGCATGTACACATCAATCTTACACAAAGACCTGCATTTGCATACTATCCATTACAAATAGTACATAAATTAGAAAAATAATAATGGTCATTCAAATGATTGACTCCCCATCTGAACGCGATTGAAAGACCAATTGCTGGCTGACAAGGAAGGGCAGAGCAATTGCCAGTGTGTAGCCGCCGCGTTTCACAGTGGGCAGCAAGAACACCTGGGGAGAGGACAGGAGACAGGGGGGTAAGTGAGTAAGAGAATAGTCGAGTGGGTGAATTTAGTGAGGTGGTCCGTGCACGCACCGCTGGAAACAGCAAGAACGAGTCTGAATGACGGATCCTGAGGAGGGAGTTCCCTTGTATTTAGGAGGCGGAAGAGCCCGCACTAGACCTCTTCCGGCTAATCGCCATCTTTGCCTTAGCGCGACTCGGTCGTGAGTGCAGTGTTAAGTGTTAAGTGTGTAGTGTGTACTCTGCAGGCGGGAGTTCACACCTCACCTCCCCAGCAGCAAGCCAGGCCGCTGGCCGTCCTCTCCTCCAACTTCACTCCATCCCATCCTCATCCCAATACTCACATCAACAACCCACCAGCCCTCACTTTGCCGTTCACCTCCACGGTACAACAACAACAATAGCAGCACATGCTTTCAGTAGCCACTAATATTGTATGGTGAATGACCACACCAGCCAATATCTATCACCAGCGACACTATTCATAATCCCCAGCGCCACATCCCTCCGACAACCTCCAAACAGATCTGCCTCATGCGATAAACTCTCCACTACCCAAGGTCTGGCCAGGAGAAGGAGGAATTGGAGGAAGCTCTTGTGCTCACCATTACCACCTGTATGAAGACAGCTGCATTGTGGTCTTTCTCTGCTTTGTCAAACCAATAAGCAGGGGAACCGCACCTCGATCCCGTCGCCCTGCCGCTCTTGCCTTGAAGCTCGTGGAAGCAGCTACGACTACCCAGCTGCCCACCAAGCTCCCCTCTCACAAATCGCTCTGTCCATTCTCACCGTCTATCATCCCCTTGCTGCCTGTCAAAATGACTCTGATAGTCGATGCTGCCTCGGCAGCCCCCTCGAAACGGCCGATACCAGACTCGAATAGTCCAGCTGTCGCAAGCCCCTCCCGAATAGCTACGCCTCCATTACCTTCCGATCGCGGCCATCTCGAAGTGAAGCAGAATGCAGACAGCGGCAACTCACGGAGCTATCATCACAGCAGAAGAGGCAGCGATCTCAGCCGGAGTCTCCTCGATGCGGACGCCGTCGACCATGCCTTGCGCCGAGAACTCAGCCGACAGCAACGGGAGAGCACGCCTGGAGGCAGCCCTCACAGGAAGCGTCAACGGATAAATGGTGACAGGTGAGTTGGACGACAGCCGGAGCTTTCCATGCCAGTTTTCGGTCCAGTGAGCCCGTGAGACTAACATGTCCCAGATTCATCCCCACGAGATCCGGTCAGGATTTGCAGGCAAGCTTCAGCCTTCTTCACGAAGATGGCTCGCCTGCGACCCCCTCCAGGCAGAAGAAGCGCACCCCGCACGGCGAGCTACACTTTCAAAGAAGTACGTTGACTCGGTTTCCTTGGCCTGATAACGACACTAACTTTTGGATCTAGCTGAGGAGGCGAACCGGACATTCTCAACTTTGCTTCGTGCTGAGCTTTTTGAGAACTCAATACCTCAGGCCACTCCTCCATCTCTCTCCCCGGATCACACTGTCCCTGGTTCATCCCACGGTACAAATCTACTCGATGGCACACGGTCACACACCCCGCCTAATAATGCATCTGCTCCATCTCTACCTACCACCATGACTCCCTCTACACCTCATAAGAATCTCTTCACATACATGTCTCCCCGTCACCATAGTAGCATCGGAGGCCACCTAACGCCGTCGAGGACTCCGCAGAGTCGGCATGGACCAAACCTAGATACCCGCTCAGAGATCTACAGCTTGTCACCCGTTAGATTCGGGAGCCAACAGATGTTGCTGAGCCCTAGGCGGCAGCCGCGGGCTGTCAGCAAAGTACCGTATAAGGTACTAGATGCACCGGAACTCGCAGATGACTTCTACCTGAACCTTGTGGATTGGGGAAGTGCTAATGTTCTTGGCGTTGGACTCGGCTCCAGCGTCTATATGTGGAATGCACAGACGAGTCGCGTCAATAAGCTATGTACGCTGGAGGATGATACTGTGACGAGTGTATCGTGGATACAAAAAGGCACTCACATCGCGATCGGCACAGGAAAGGGCTTGGTTCAAATTTGGGATGCCGAGAGAACGAGGCGGTTGAGAACTATGACTGGCCACACCGCTAGAGTCGGCTCTTTGGCATGGAACACTCACATTCTGACGTCGGGCTCCCGGGACCGACTCATTTACCACCGTGATGTACGAGCCCCAGATCAGTGGCTTCGAAAGCTGGTCGGCCACAAGCAAGAAGTTTGCGGTCTGAAGTGGAATTGCGAGGATGGTCAATTGGCGAGTGGTGGTAATGACAACAAGTTGATGGTATGGGACAAGCTCTCAGAAACACCCTTGTGGAAGTTTTCGGACCACACCGCTGCCGTCAAGGCGATTGCGTGGTCTCCTCACCAACGAGGACTCCTAGCCTCAGGAGGTGGTACGGCTGATCGCAGGATCATCTTTCATGATACTGTTAGAGGAGCTGTGATCAACGAGGTGGACACTGGTAGCCAGGTCTGCAACATCGCATGGTCCAAGAACTCGAACGAGATCGTCTCAACCCACGGTTACAGCCAGAACCAGATTGTTGTCTGGAAATATCCATCCATGACACAGGTGGTCAGCCTGACCGGCCACACCTACCGTGTCCTGTACCTGGCCATGAGCCCTGATGGCCGTGTAGTTGTCACCGGAGCTGGAGACGAGACGCTCCGCTTCTGGAATGTATTTGGCAAGCGGCCAGGCGCGAGAGAAGACAGCGACGGCGGCGGACGGCTGTCCGATTGGGGAGTAATTCGCTGAAGAGAAGGCCCCGCGCTTATCCAACATCCCAGCTCCACTTGTGTAAATCAAAAACCCCGACTCAACACATGTGCTTTATCTTACGACTCTCCTCACCAGCACGAGGAAACGACACGAATCTCCACAACTACATCATGAATCCTGGACGACGGAATACCCCTTTGGCTTCATTTGGCAGCATCAGTTGGCGTTGGTCGAATTTAGCCTTGCTTGAGACAGCCCTTTGCTATGACGATTCACATCTTGTAGTACTACTTGGAGGACAGTTATTAGGCAGGGGGTTATCATTAGCCTGGGCAATCTGAGGTGTGCAATGCGACCAGACGTTTGCTATCTTGGCTGAGGCCATAGAGAAATGAATTAGATCAGGGCTTAGCGGCAGTTAGGCACAATCCGTCTGGATGTGCTGAAGCATATGCTTCGAATACAGATAAGACAATCTGCGATGATCAAATAGCAATATTGCTGGTCATTCTGCTCAACACAACTTACGTCTCATGAAACGTGAACTTGCGAACTGTTATTCTTCTAGACCGGCATTTACATGGTTTCGGATCTGAACGCGCGTATGGGGGCATATATTGTAACTAGCTATATCTAGTTGCATCTGTTTCCGTGGCACGACCACACAACTCTGATAAGCACAGCGTAATGTATCCTACATGGTGAATTGCCTCGCTAACGTCATGAGGTGAGTCCAGCTACCGAAAAGGGGGGTATACGAGCGACCAAAAACAACAACGTCAAAATATTCAAGCAACGAACATGCATACTCTCTACTCTTGCTTCAATCTCGTGCCTCCATGCATCACCCCTGCGCCTGCCTGCCTCCCCGCCTGCCTGCCTGCCATGATAGAAGAGTGCGAATTTGAACAGAGATAGAAATAATCATAACAGGCCAACTCCGCGTTTGTCGTGAATCATTCGCTGCGAAACGAAGGGTGTGTGTATCAGATGGATGGGTGAATGCCGTCACGGCATCATAGTAAACGAAAATGGAAAGCAAGCAAGCAAGCAGACAAAATCATCAAAATCTTGAATCCTCGCTGACCTTGCGCTCCCTGGCGACGTCCCGCGCGCCGCCGTCGACGCCCGACGACAGCGCATCGCTGGAATGACTCCTGCCCTTCTCCTCGCTCAGCAGCGGGATGTTGTCGACGCCGACGTCCTGGGCGTTGCCCAGCAGCTCGGCGTGCAGCTTGTCCTTTTCCTCGCCGCCGCCGCCGCCGCCGGGCTGGTGGTCCGGGTGTGGCGTGAGGACTGGAGAAGCCAGCATGCTCTCCGGGCTGTTCTGCCACTTTGCGACCTCTGCGCGCATGGCCTCGAGCTCCTTCTGGAAGCGCTTGCCGAAGACGTCGATGTAGTAGGTGGAGCCGTTGTAGACGCTCCAGACGAAGACGAAGAGCAGGAAGGTGGCGGAGGCCCAGCGGCTGTAGAACCACAGCGGGCAGGGGACCATGGTCAGCACGGCGTAGAGGTACTGGATGAGCATGAAGGCGGGCTCCTGCAGCGCGGCGGGCAGGCCGAGCACGAGCCGGCCGATCCACGACTTGGAGTAGCTCTTGCGCAGCCAGGTGAAGGACGTCGGGCGCCCCGCGGCGATCTTCTCGCGCCGCCGCACCGTAATGAAGAAGTAGTACGACAGCTGCCACACCGCGTAGGGGATGGTGCTCCAGGCGAGCATCGAGAGGACGTTCGCGTACGCGGTCGGTGAGCCCGGCGGCGAGGTCTTGATTGTCCAGACGGCGGGGAAGCGCTCTTTTTGGTGCTCTGGGCTAAAGAGATGAACGATACAGTGGAGAGTCACGCAGGGCATGACGTGTATGAAGAGCGAGGTGACCTTGTCGAAGCTGTGGAAAACGAGCGAGTTCCGCCACATGATGATGGCGACCGCGTTGTTGCCAAAGGCTAGGCAGAACGTTGCTGTGAAGAGTCGTTTCGAATTCGGGAAAGCCCATATGCTCAATATCAGGAGAAAGTTGACAAAGTAGCATAGGTCTGCCAGGAAGTAGTGATAGCCCCTCTTATGGTATGTGTAGTAGCGGATCGGCATGAAATAGAGGATTTGGACCGTGTACCACCAGTGGAAGTACTCGGGGAAAGCTCCGATGAAATAGCCACTGAGGAAAATATTCATGACGCCGCAGATAAAAGAGACTTTCTCGCGCAGCGTGATGGCCTTTGTATCGTTCCATTGCCGTCCCAGCTTGTCCACGCTCGTTCGCATACGCTTTCTATACCGATCCAGCTGCTCTTCTGCTGAAGGCACGCGCTTCCTCCACTCCTCAACCATCCGCTCGCGAGCCTTTTGACTTTGTGACTTAAACGCATCTCTGGACTGGCGAACCTTTTTTGTCTGCGCCGATAGCCCCTTTTGGAGTTTCTCCAACTGTTGAGGAAGAGCAAAGTTGTCCAGAATGTCGAGGACACTCAGACGGTCTAAGGGAGGGAAGGCCTCCCAGTCTTCTTGGTATGAGCTGCTCCCGGAGAACGAAGGATTCCTAGACAGTCTTGCGCTCGGAGTCGTGGGACCCAGGGTTGGAGTATCAGCGACGGCGTGTTCTGGGGGTGATGTGCTGAGTCCCGGGGTATCGCTGGGATCTGGCGTCAAAGCGCTGCCGCCCGCGTCGCTGTCGGTCGAGGGGGCATCGGATCTGTTACCCGGTATGGGTATGGGAATGGCTTCTTGTTCTGCCATGTCGCTTATTGTGCGTCTATGGTGTCGGTGGTGGTCGTGGTGGAAGGAAACTTTGCGGAGAGCTTCCGCTCCTCTGAGAACTAATACGTCAGCCATGTGGTAGCGAGTGCCGAGGCCATACTCAAGCGTGCATAACGTGCTATGAGAGAAGGAACATGGGCCAAGACTTGGGACATAAAAGAGTGTATGGACCCTTGAAATAGAGACAAGACTCCATCGGGTCGGCAGCAGGAGGATTGCACCATCCCTAAGAAGGACCCGTCATGTGAAGTATGCCAGGCGGACTTACAAGAGATAGGGCTACTACACGTTGAGGGTAGCCTGCAGGTAGCCCGGCTAGTGTGAGATTTTGTGAATAATCGGATGGTACTTTGACACGCTCTAGGGCGGACAGATGGTATTTGCTCGACTGGCAGGTGTTGATGGAAAACGGGTCGTGTCGAGGAGGTGTTTCCAAGATGCCCTCTGTCCGAGCTATGGCCAACTTTAAGCTGGGCCACCAGGAGGCAGCAATGTCATTCCTCTTGGGTGTCGATAATGCAGATATTCCCAAGGCAGACACGGCTCAGATGTGCCCAGGTGACTGAGTACCGAGCGATGGCAGGGCTGTGGGATAGAAGGGGGTACTGGATGGAGCGGAGCGTGTGTTGGAATTTGTGAAGAGGACAATGGGACTCTTCCAAGTTGCATGGCTTGTGATGCGGCTTGGCGCCAGCAGCACGTATGGAGAAAGCTTAAACGGGGACTGAGTTCTGACGTTATTGGATCATCTGAGTCCCTGCTGCAGCGTGTTGTCATCCACCCTGAGCCCGGCCCCAGTTTTGCTTGGCCCCAGCTCTACCTACCTTAGGTACTACTGCATAGTAGGTACTAGGTAGCTCAGGGCAGGCCTGGAGGGCCCTGTCACTGGCTGCCAGTCCACACCGTGTCTTCGAGATGGCTTCTGGTTGGACGGAAACGGATCAAAAGAATCGAAGATAATGTTCCATCGCGAGTACATGCAGTGGGCTCGGCTGATCTTCTTTGATCCACGATACCTCCAGATTGAGATCTAGAATCATTTACAAGTCACTGGTGGGTTAGGCTTAACAATCTGGAAAGTACAAGTGGTCTCTTGCCCAAGTTGCCAGAACACCCAGGCACGTACTTGATAATGCTCACACTGTACTGGAAGTCAACACTGAGAAAAATGTCAAAACTAGAGTCTGTTACCTGAAAATACTGTAAGACATAGAAGAATAAGATTGAAGTTCGAATTTGATCCAGGTATCTTGTTCGTTTGGGGTGCTTTCCTCTGCTCACAGAGCCACTTTGGTCATCGTTATCGTCTCTTCCATCTGATAACAACCCGGAATCAGAATAGCGCAATCGCTTACCTAAGGCCATGGCCAGTCGCGTTTGGTGGGTGGCACCATCAGCGCACCTGCAGTGCCTCCTTCTCCCCCACCGTGAAGCGCGTACCCTGAGATCAATCAATCGCGCCAAACAAAATCTCACGCTGCGACAAAACGGACAGAGGCCACGCCCGCGATCGGTCATCGCGATCCCACCGTCACCATGGGCAAGCTCATCCGCCTTGAGCTCTACAGTGAGTGCTGCGCGCTTTCTGTGCGCTCTCGAGAGTGGTAGCTAATTGCGCTGCGCAGACTTCAAGTCCTACAAGGGCCACCACACGCTTCTCTTTGGAGACTCGTACTTCACCTCCATCATTGGACCCAATGGATCCGGCAAATCGAACTCGTAAGTTACTCTACCCTCCAGCGTAATATGCGAGGATCATGCTCTAATATCGCGTTCCAGCATGGATGCCATATCCTTCGTCCTCGGCATCAAATCCTCACAGTTGCGGTCGTCTCAGCTAAAAGACCTCGTATATCGCGGCCGTGTCATGAAGACCTCAAAGATAAACGATGACGGGTCGACAGCAGAGCCGGCGACGAACGGTCACACCAACGGCTTCGCTGATGGCGATGAAGATGGCGCGACGCCAAAGTCTTCACGCAACGACCCAAAGACTGCTTGGGTCATGGCAGTATACGAAGATGACGCAGGCGATGAGCAAAAGTGGAAGCGTGCCATCACAGCGCAGGGATCGAGTATATACTACATCAACGACCGCACAGTCACTGCGCAACAATACAACGATGCCCTGGAGACCGAGAACATCCTGATCAAGGCACGAAACTTCCTCGTCTTCCAAGGAGATGTCGAGGCTATCGCATCGCAGTCCCCACAGGACCTGACGCGCCTCGTCGAGCAGATATCCGGGAGCTTGGAGTACAAGGCAGAATACGACAGGCTGCAGGCTACCGTGGAACAGGCCTCCGAGAACCAGAACTTCCAGCTGCACAGGCGGCGCGGTATCAACTCGGAGATTAAGCAGTATCAAGAACAGAAGAAGGAAGCAGAGAATTTCCAGAGGAAGACCGAGGAGAAGGACGAAGCTATAGTCACTCAGATCTTGTGGAAGCTCTATCACTTCCAGCGTGTAATGGATGAATCAAGCGCGAAGATCCAGGAGCACCAGGAGGAGCTGAAAGAATTCCGCCGTAATGTCGAGTCCTACGAGAAGAAGCTGGAGGCAGCGCGCAAGGAGCAAGCCACCATTAGCAGAGAGGTTGGCAAGATCGAGAAGAATATCAAGGCGAAAGAGAGACAAATCGAGGAAAAGGAGAACAGCCTTGTGCCCATCGATGAGAAGGTCGAGCAAAGTAACCGCGAGATTGAGCGAATTGCGAAGCGGTTGGAGACTGTAAGCAAGGAGCGCGATGAGCAAGTCAAGATCATCCAGAAGGAGAAGAAAGACCTTGCCACAGTCGAGAAGGCACATCAACAGTTTGAGAACCAGTGGAAAGAGACTCTGAAGAAGCAAGGCAAGGAGCTGAGTGACGCTGATCGCAAGGAGTACAATACTTTGCGAGCTCAAGCCATGGCGAAGTCTGCTGCAAATCAGGCTGAGCTGGACTCTCTCGTTCGTCAACTGAAGAGCGATGAGTCAACAGTAAGCAGTCTGAAAGGCAAGGTGGAGACATACGAAGCCGCAGCCCAAAAACTGCAAGCAGAGCTGGACAACCTGAAGAAGCGAAAGGAGACAACTCAAGAGATTGTTCGTCAAGTCCAGAGCGAGATTGAAGCTAAGAAGAAGGAGTTCCACCAGGTGCAATCAGAGCGTATCCGGGCAAACAACAGGCATACCGAGCTCGACGAGAAGTTGCAAGACGTTCTGAAGAAACTAGCGGAGGCTGATGACGGAAGACGCCAAAACGACAAGGAGATGAGGCTGAAGGAGATGGTCTCGACCCTGAAACGCATCTACCCAGGTGTGCGCGGCAGAATTGGCGAGCTTTGCAAACCGAAGCAGAAGAAATTTGATGAAGCTGTCATCACAGCCCTGGGTCGAGACTTCGACTCTGTCATTGTAGACTCGGAGAAGACCGGTATTCAGTGCGTTGACTACTTGAAGGAGCAGCGCTTTCCTCCAATGACCTTCATTCCCCTCGACAACATCAAAGTCAACGCCGTGAACTCCGCTGTTAAGGGCACAAGTGGCGCGAGGTTGACAATTGACACAATTGATTTCGACCAGTCTCTTCAGCGTGCTATGGAATATGCTTGCGGAAGCTCCGTCGTCTGCGACAGCCTTGATATCGCCAAAGACATCTGCTACCGGAGGAGAATCCAGGTTAAGGCAGTGACCCTGGAGGGCTATGTCATCCACAAGGCTGGTCTGATGACTGGAGGTCGTCTCCCAGAACACAAAGGAGGAAAGCGACGATTTGAGGAACACGACGTGCAGAATCTCAAGAAGATGGCTGAGAAACTACGCGACGAACTCCAGAAGCTGCCACGAGCTGATCGCCGTGGGCACGCTGAGGAATCTCTACAGTCTGATCTCATCACACTAGAGTCGCGCTTGCATGCTGCTAGAGCCGAGCTGCAAGCGTTCGAGAAGAATGTCGCTAGCAAGAAGAAAGAGCTCGATCATGAGCACCGACAGCTTCGCGAATACGAACCAAAGTACCAGCAGAAATACAACGAGTTGGAAGCCACGCGTCAAGCGGTCGCTAAGTATGAGAAGGCCATCGCGCAGGTTGAAGATAAGATCTTCGCCGACTTCTGTAAACGGCTCGGGTACAGTGATATACGTTCGTATGAGGCGCAACAAGGAAATCTCGAGCAGGAAGCTGCAGAGCAGCGGAATAAGTTTGAGGTGCAGAAGCAGCAGCTCAGGAGTACCTTGAATTACAACCAGTCCCGCCACAACGAGACTCAAGGCCGAGTGAAGCGTATGCAAGAACAACTTGAGCGTATGAAAGCGGACGTTGAAACCTATCAAGAAGAGAAAGCAGCCGTCGAAGAAGCCATGGGCCAAGACCAAGATGAACTTCAAGCTTTGCAGGAAAGCCTGGAGAAAATTCAGGCTGAACAGGCAAAGAAGATCGAGAAGGTGGCGGAAGCGAAGCTCGAAGTCCAAAAGAGAAGCAAAGACATCGACGCCAGGCTGAAGCTTATCAGCGAATTGGAGGCTGAAATCCAAAAGAACAGCTCCAACAGATTTGCTCAATTAAGAAGCTGCAAGCTGCAGCAGATCAGTATACCGCTGCTAGAAGGCTCCCTTGACGACTTACCCAACGAAGACAACCTGCTGCATCAGGATCCTGATGCGATGGATGTTGACGAAGGCGATGATCCGGAAGTCTTGGAAGCTGCCATGGACGATTATGGTATTGAGGTTGACTTTGAGAACCTGGACGAAGAGCTCAAAGATGTAAGTTTGAGTCTATCTAATATTTCTACGGACCCATTACTAATTATCATAGCCTGAGAGGGAAAATGTAGAGGAGATGCTTCAAGAGAAGATAGACTCGCTGTGGGCCGAGCTGGAGAAGCTTAATCCTAACATGCGCGCTATCGAGCGCCTTGAGGGCGTCGAGGCCCGCCTAAAGTCCACAGAACAGGACTTTGAGGACTCACGCGCGGCTCTCAGGCAAGCACGTGAGGAGTTTGGCAGAGTGAAAACCCAACGATTTGAGCTCTTCAATAAGGCCTTCTCCCACATTCAAGACCAGATCCAAGCCGTCTACAAGGATCTCACCCGCTCGGAGGCTTATCCTATTGGAGGCACGGCTTACCTTGATATCGAGGATGATACAGACACGCCCTATTTGTCAGGTATCAAGTATCACGCCATGCCTCCTTTGAAGCGATTCCGCGATATGGAGCACCTTTCTGGTGGTGAGAAGACAATCGCTGCCCTTGCACTTCTATTTGCCATCCACAGCTACCAGCCGAGTCCCTTCTTCGTCCTTGATGAGGTTGATGCTGCTCTGGACAACGCAAACGTTGAGAAGATCAAGAAGTACATTCGCGAACATGCTGGCCCTGGCATGCAATTCATTGTCATCAGTCTCAAGACTGGACTCTTCCAGGACAGTGAAAGCTTGATTGGCGTGTACAGGGATCAGGAGGTGAACTCCTCAAAGACCTTGACTCTAGACGTAAGTACTTCCAATCCGGCTTTGATCATTTGCTAATAGTCCGATAGCTTCGGAAATATGTGTAAAATGGAAATCCTTCAACAAGTAATGTTTCGGCGGGTGGCTACAGAAATGATGGCATGACTATGGATTAAGGAGCTAAATGGTAATCACCGGCTCGAGATGTTCTTTCGGCGATACGGATTATGTACTATACTAGCAATGGACTTGCTTACCCTTTCGGAGTAGGTTTATTCAAATGATATCATCGTATTTTCCCGCAAACTTTCGACTCGAGTGCCTCTGGAGTATGTTTTGACGAGTTGAGGCCTCAGGCGGCTGTTCAGGTTCACTGAGAGAAGCCAGGTTCGGTTTCCCACATTAAGCGCTTGCCTCGATCCCAGCGCTTATGGAAACATGGCTCCCATTTGTGCAACCCAGATGTTTCGGGCTGTTGTGTGCTGCTGATCTTTCTTGACAACACTGAAACAATGACTTATGCACGTTTTCGGCCCCCACGCTCGCATATGGTATGTTTCCCTTCCCCTGAAACGACGAGATTCAAGGCGCCGAAGACAGTAGCCTTGCGCCCAGGCTGATTATATATTGAACACCTTCCTCTGGAGCTTGTGAGGATGGTTCTTTTTCTGGATTTTTTGTGCAAGATCCAAATTACATTGAGCAACACAGAGCGCAGCCCAGCATGGCACTCTCGACCAACACTGCTCTGATATGCCTCTGCTGGGCCATTGCTTTCGCGTGCCCCAGCCTTGCCATTTCACGAACCGTCGGTGATCCTAGCGATGCCGTTGTCCAGGACATCGCTGCGAACTGCACGGCACAGCCTGGCATCGGCTTCAAGTTCGGCCACTGCCCGTACCTGATCCGGTGTGTCCTAAGCCAGATCCCCGAAGACAGGAGCGCAGGGTGGCAGAGCGGCAGCAACATCGCGTCGCTTGTACCGACTATTCTAGCACTCATAGGTACGTTTTTTGAAAAGAAAACCGTTTGAAGTTGTGATGCTCACGCATGCCGTACAACGATAGGTGCCGGACCCCTTGACCTCGTCGAGCTCGCGCTGGTGTCTCCCGTCAGGGCCCTGGCGACCTGCGTCTTCGCCATCGGCCTGCCCCAGAGCCTCTTCCGCCAGCTCGGGCTGCACCAGTCCCGGCTGTCCGACGTGCTGCCGCGCTCGCCCCGCGTGCGCGAGTGGCGCGTGAGCGTCCCGCGCTCGTCTGGAGCGAGCCCCCGCCAGAAGTGGAAGTGGGCGGCGACGTCGCGCCGCCGCGCGCTCAAGGCCGCCGCCGTGGACGCGGCCGTGCTCGCGCTGGCGGGCGTCATGCTGTGGCAGAACGTCGCCCTCGGCCGCCAGAGCATGGTCACCTGGCGCTGCGAGTACAGCTGGCTGCTGCTGTGCTGGCCGGTGGCGTGCGCGGCGTGGCTCGCCATCGCGCTGGGCCTGCTGGCCGCGCTGGCGCGCGACGTCCGCATCCGCTTCACGGAGGACGGGCCCGGCGTGCGGCGCTCGTGGGCGGATCTTCTGCGCTTGATGTACCGGGTGCCGGAGCCGCGTGGGGCGCCGCCGCTGGACCGCGGGAGGCAGATCCCAGGGGTGAAAGATGGTCAGGGGCGGAAAGAGAGAGCAGACGGGGATGAGGTGCGGGAGGTGATGCCGGGCTCGGACGAGCCTGCGTTTGTGCTGACGATCACGATGAGATATGACACGGCATGGAGGTGGTATGAGGCTGCCATCGAGGCGCTTGCAGTGGGGATCTATCTCTATGCGACGTTTGTCTTGACGAGCTCGTTGTTCATCAGTGGCAGCGTAGGCATTGTCTACATGACGACCATGGTCTTGTGTTTGAGTGCTATTAGGATCGTTGAGGCTATATAATTCGGCAAGTCTGGACGATACGAATAAGCTTCATGCTTGGATGAAATTTTTCTTAAAGGCATACTTTCACTGCAATTTTAGGCCCTCCAAATCCCGGCCTCCTGAAATCTCAGGATGCCGTTGCGAGGGCTAAGATTGCAGTGAAGTGTTCAACAAAACGGTCAGCCACTTAAGTATGCATAGACACATCATATGCACCTAAGAACTGCCCTTTCATCTTCACGAACCCACCATTCTTCAGACCATTCTTCAGACCATTCGATGTGACGATGTGACCTTATATTTGCAAGTCGATTTATTAAAAAGCATTCTATGCTTTTGTCTCGGGTATCCAATAACGCCACCAAGCACCCAGAAATCATAACCAAGCATTCCGCCATATACACCAGCCCAGCTTTAAATACCCTTTATTCACCCAGCCGCGCAGTTTCACCTCCTCCTTCTCCGCCTCCTGAGCTCCACCCAATCCTCATCCGTCTCTTCACTCGGCGGCGCATCCGTGATCTTGGAGTACTGCGCGGCATCGTCGTCCCCACCAAGCTTCTCAATGCCATTGTTGCCGAGCAGGAAGTCGCCCAGGTACTTCATGGCGTTGAAGATCTCCTGGCCCGTGGGCACGATGTTCTCGCTGGGCAGCAGGAAGCCGTAGCTGCCCGTGTCCCGCAGCTTGATCTGGTAGCTGTAGCGGGCCTTGAGCTCGTGGTAGAACCAGTCGATGGCGGAGCCGCCGCCGGACTCGATCCGCGGCTGCGGGCCGAAGTTGCTGTGGTCCTGGGCCGTGGCGCCCTCGCAGGCCGAGGCGATGCTGTAGGCCTGGCCGTTTGACAACCGGATAGCCTTGGCGATCCCGGCGGCGAGCTCCTGGAGGTTCTCCAGGTTTGGCGGGTCAACGGAGCAGGAATACGAGAAGGGGAAGAGCACTTGCTGGGAGTACGAGTGCAGGTCAAGCAGGCCCACAAAGTGGACATTGTTGCCGGTCTCGTTCTTGGCCCACTGTGCAAGTTGTAGTGCCTCGACTGCTTGGAAGGGCTCATCGCCGCCGTAGCTCTCCGAACAGGGGTCGGTCTGGTGCTTCACGCTGTCCCACTTGTAGCTGAACGCGTGATCCAGATCGAGGCCGCGGCAGAAGCGGAGGTTTGTATGTTGCCTAGACTTGCGCCAGAGCCGATCTACCTCCCACGTGTACTCAATACCGTCGGGGTTGAGAGCCGGGACGAAGACAATATCAAAGTTCTGGAGGAATTTCGTAATCATCGGCTCCTTGTTGTACGATGTGATGAAAGACCAGGCAAGGTAATTGACAGTAGTAGTAGAGATCCACTCTCTCGCATGGACGCCTCCGGTCACAACGAGCGTCTTGCGGGCCTTGGCAGTTGTTGCCTTGTGTTTGACAACCTCACCAACCCTCAGGCCGAGGATGTCCCTGCCTTCATATGACTTGCCGATAGTGACGATATGGACCAAGGATGGGAACATGGCTTCGAGAAGACGCATCCATTGCGTCACGACGGGCAATGGCTGGTAGTCCTGAAAGAACAGGTTGTCGGTCCCATCTGTGGCGCGTCCGCCGAGGGTGTTTGCGCTGCGTTCGACTCGGCTCTGGCCGATTCTCGATGATTTCTTGGATGGGTACGTCTCCCAGACGGCGGAGGCCAGATCGGGGATGAGAGGGAAGTAGTCTGCGCGGAGCGACTCGGGCAAGAGCCCCATCAAGGAGGGGACATCGTCCTTGTGGAGCCGTATGTCGACATACTCGGGGGTGAAGGCCCAGACGTCCAAGAACAGCCGGTCCGCGGCCTTGGCCAGGGCCTCCTCCTCGTCCGTCTCAGTGACATTGAATCTGATGACGACCTCGTTCGTGTAGCTCTTGGCCTGGAGTCCCGGGTAGGACACGACGTCTGCGGACTTGGCCTTGCCGAAGATGAAGCCGACGGCGCTGTCGCGGATCCAGCTCAGGAAAGGGAAGACCTTCTTGGGGTGCGGGTGCGGGTGCTGGCCGCCATGATGGCCGACTTGGTAGTGGGCGGCGACGGAGACGGCGAGCAGGAGGGCCGAGACTAGGCAGGCGTGCAATTGCATCTTGGGAGGTCAGTCAATTGAGTGGGTGGAAGGTGGCCTCGCGGGCGCCTCCAGCTCCAGCAGCGCGGTGGTGTAGGCACAATGGACAATGACAGGCGGTTGTTGAGGATGGAAGAGGACAGGTTTAGCGTTTTGGCGTTTTGCAGGTTAAGCTGAGGTGCTTCCTTGCTTGCATCAGGATCAGGAAGAGGGGCACGAGGTGAGTGGCCCAACGGGGCAGGTGGGCGGCGGCTTCGGATACGGTAGCCTGGATTCACTTTCGCTGCCATGCTACGGGGTACTGGTAGTTTAGACTAGATTGATCAAAGACGGCTGCCTCCTTCTCGTAACGGGCTGATCCGTTTCAACCACGGCAACAAAGAACCTGTTTCGCATGGCAGATCAACCAAAGATCTCAGTATTCTATAGCAATTTCATCAGAGAGAGATGGGTGAACCGTACTGATAGAAGAGGATACCTCCAGCTCCAGAGTGCATATACTCTAATACATGTACTGTACGTATGATACCCCAACCATTGCGTGTCTAGGTGCAAAGTCCTGCCGTTCCGGCGCCGACGAACTCCACTTGTTAGACCAGGAGAGCGACCTTACGCATGCCATGTCAGCTGGCTTAGTTGGCCTCTAAGTTCCCTAGATACCCAAGATCAGGTAGGCCCCTGAAAGCCGGGACTTCCATTGCATTAACGTTACGGCGCCCCATTGCGCTGTTGGACTCACTTCACATGGCAAAGTCCCACCAAGCACAGCGATGCTACTTCACATGAACAATGGGTAGAAACAGCCGTTGGTGATCCTGTATTTCTGCATTGTCCGTGAAAGTCCAAAGAAAAGGTAATTGGTGCAGTCAACGTTTCTGTAGTCTAGTAGGTAGCCAGGTAGCATGTCAGCATATCCTGAGGTTTGGCTTGCATTCCTCCTCCTCCTCCTCCTCCTCCTTTCTGTCCCTTGATGAAAAAAGCCACAGGGCTGGGCAAGGCCTAGATAAAGGTAGGTATAGGTGCAGGTAGCAAGCTGGGAATGGCGCGGGCATTTGGCAGCGGCGGATAGCGTGGAGAGCAAGGATTTGCTTGGGTCGTAACTTCGTAAGCATGTGTGGCACTGCAGAAAAAAGCACCCACGGTCCCCCTCTCACTGATTTGCAGGCGGCATCCCCCCTGCTCGTTTCCCCTTTAAGGCCCTTTTAGGGGCAAGGTCGGCGTATCGGTCTCTTCCAGGGCGCCTCCCGTCTCCACCGACCAACAAAAAACACACCTGGCCCTGCTGCCGTCCCTACCAATCGAACCTACCTAACCTGGCTTGACCTAAGGTGACCGACCTGACCGCCTAACTAAACTGAATGGGGGGTCTCTCTGGCACCTTAGGTACTTTCCAGACTGGTCTGACTTGACTGAACTGATTGATTGATTGATTGATTGACT